TGATGGTTTATAGTGATGGTGTGGTTTATAGTGATGGTGGTGGTGGTTTATAGTGATGGTTTATAGTGGTGGTGGTTTATAGTGATGGTGGTGGTGGTTTATAGTGATGGGTGGTGGTTTATTGGTGGTGGTTTATAGTGATGATGGTGATGGTTTATAGTGATGGTGGTGGTTTAATGTGATGGTGATGGTGGTTTATAGTGAATGGTGGTTTATAGTGATGTGTGGTTTATAGTGAATGTGGTTTATAGTGATGGTGGTTTATAGTGATGGTGGGTGGTTTATAGTGATGATGGTGGTGGTTTATAGTGATGATGGTGGTGGTTTATAGTGATGATGGTGGTGGTTTATAGTGATGGTGGTGGTTTATAGTGATGTGGTGGTGGTTTATAGTGATGATGGTGGTGGTTTATAATGATGGTGGTGGTTTATAGTGATTGGTGGTGTTTATAGGTGATGGTGGTGGTTTATAGTGATGATGGTGGTGGTTTATAGTGATGTGGTGGTTTATAGTGATGATGGTGGTGGTTTATAGTGATGATGGTGGTGTTTATAGTGATGATGGTGGTGGTTTATAGTGATGGTGGTGGTTTATAGTGATGATGGGTGGTTTATAGTGATGGTGGTGGTTTATAGTGATATGGTGGTGGTTTATAGTGATGATGGTGGTGGTTTATAGTGATGATGGTGGTGGTTTATAGTGATGATGGTGGTGGTTTTTATAGATATTTTTCAAATAGTGTGTTTTAGGATAGGGTTAATAACCTGAGGTATACTGAGATCTGAATTATACCGGAATATACTTGAAGGATATGAGTATACGTGAAGGATACTGAAGGTAATGATACATAAAGGATAGAGAATACTTGAAGTATACGTGGGGATAGTGAGATACTGAGTTAATAAAGTATCCTGAAGATTACCTGAGGATACTGAAGTAGTTTTGGGGGTCATCGCCGCGGCTGGGTGACCGTCCAACAATATAATAGGAATCTTCCAGAGTTTATATTAAGATCGTGTCTTCCCACCCTGATAACCTTAGAATGGTTCTGATGGACACATGATGTACAGCTGCGTTAAGTGTATGAGGTGTAACTTTAAAGTGCCTGGGATGGAACATGTGTTTACCTGCGTTTCTTATATGAGAGACGTTTCGACAGTTTTTTTAAATACTCAAGTATTAATATGATGGTGTCGTTATCAATCTGTTGGTATTATATACGTTTTCTTAATTATACAAGGAGAGAGAAGAGAGAGAGAGGAGAGATAGAGAGAGAGAGAGGAGAGAGAGGACAAAGAGAGACAGGAGAGAGGACAGAGACAGAGAACGAGAGAGAAGAAGAGGACAGAGAGAGACATGAACAGAGACAGAGAGAGACAGAGAGGAGACAGAGAGAGGACATGAGAGAGACAGAAGAGGAGACAGGAGAAGAGAAACGAGAGATGAGAGAGATACGAAGATAAGAAGAGAGAGTAGAGAGAGAGAGAGAGAGACAGAAGAGGTAGAGAGGACAGAGAGACGAGACAGAGACAGAGACAGAGAGAGAGAGAAGAAGAATAGAGATAGAGAGAGAGAGAAGAAGAGAGAGAGTAGAGAGAGAGAGGAAAGGAGGAAGAAAGAAGAGAGAGCGAGGAAGAGAAAGATGGAGAAGAGATGAGAGAGTGAAGGAATGCCTGAGCAATACAGGCGAATGTGCAAAGTCGAGAAATTAGTTTAGATCAAATACTTAAAGAGAAATTCTAAACATAGAAAGTCGCACTAAGGCAGTGGTGTCTACTCTCTTATTAGTGTCTTGGCTGAGGAGGGTAACAACTATTATATAACTCTGTGTCCCATTATATAGATATTCTTCTGTATATGTATAGCTTCTTAGCTTCTTGTTCCTCTTTTTTCTTTTTTATTCTTTATCCTTGTCTTTTTCTTCTTCTTCAGGATACGTACAGCTGCCTGAGAGTTCTATACTTCTGCAGAATACTGCACCAGTTGTATGTTGTCACTGTTGTCACTCTCGCTGTGTTGTCACTGTTGTCACTCTCGTTGTGTTGTCACTGTTGTCACTCTCGTTGTGTCACTGTTGTCACTCCCATTATGTTGGTTGACTGTTGTCACTGTCAGTCATTAACTGGAATCAGTGTGTCAGTGTTTCTCTTGATGCTGCCCAGACTTTGGATTTTGGACAGATTATTAAATATCTCGTGTTGTGATGGTCCACCAGCCCAGTTTTTTGCTTGTCTGTATGAGCTGGCTTAATGTTTTCACTATTTTCTGCTTCAAATGCAGTAGGAAAGTCAAACCTCCTAGAATGTTTTCAGTCTTATAAAGTCCCAACTCCTAGAATGTTTTCAGTCTTATAAGGTCCCATCTCCTAGAATGTTTTCAGTCTTATAAGGGATTTTTCAAAGTGGCTCGTTCTTGTCTGAAGATCGTTCTCATGACTCACGAAGATCATTCTCATGACTCACAAAGATCGTTCTCATGACTCACGAAGATCGTTCTCATGACTCACGAAGTTCGTTCTCATGACTCACGAAGATCGTTCTCATGATTCACGAAGATAGTTCTCATGACTCACGAAGATCGTTCTCATGACTCACGAAGATCGTTCTCATGACTCACAAAGATCGTTCTCATGACTCACAAAGATCGTTCTCATGGCTCACGAAGATCGTTCTCTCTCTCATATTTAAAACGATGAAGCAGACCGTGCCCTATTATTTCCTGAACATGACAGAGAATGCAAATTTTCGTTGATGAATTAGATACATGTCTAATTTATATTTGTAGACATTTCGCCAACCAGGGTTTTATCAGGCATACCTGGTATATCAGTTCTGTACGTGTGTTTGTTGTGTCTAGCTTCGTGTGTACCAGCCTTAATCTGGTCATTGTTGTCTGTTACTCTTGCTTTATATCTTATATGTTTCTACACCTCCCAACTCTTTATGTTATAGTTCCATAGTGTGTTGATGAGAAAGACAGTTTCCAGTTTTCAATGAAATTGTTTGTTGTTATAGTTTTCAGTTTTTTTTACGTGTTGCATACGAGACTGTAAGTTGTACAGTATATTGAATGTTGCATTGCACATTGCCTTGGCTAGCTCACCAAGTGTTGACTGTGAAGTATTCCCAAGTGTGCGAGTATCCATTATAGGTATATATTCTATCCTTCTTTAATGGTGTTGGTGTAGGAGTATGTGACACTGATATTCAAATACCTTGAATGTTTTGAAGCGTTGTGTAATATATTGATTTACACTTTTATAGCCGCTACAAATTGTATAATTACCAACTTTCAGTAAATTAATTATTCTCAAGGCCTCATAAATTCCGGAAAGCTCAGCTATGGATACAGAAAAGTCCTATAAGTTGCTATTCCAGTTTGATATGAAAAAGGTCAATACACAGAGGGTGTACTGTTGCTGAGGATTCGTCATTCATTTATATAGATTTTTTTTGTAAGTAGATTGCGCCTTGTGTATGCAAAAGTAGAAACTTAAACTTCATTTGGTGCTGCTTTGGGCACATTACTGTCAAGGTGTATTGTTAAGTCCGGTGTAATACAGTGCCACGGGGCGAGCGGCGGAACTGATAGTTGGTTTTCGCAGTTTTGGAAGCTGGTTACGTGTGAGGTGATATTATATAAGATACTTGCATAAAGGGTTGTGAGTTAGTAGTTCTGGTGGGTTCGTGTGGAAAGGTGATAACAAGGGTTACCTTGGAGAGGTATGACTTTGATGGAAGTGCAGAAATACTGAGAGATACTTTGTAAACATTATGTCTCGCCGTGTGGCTAGGCATGGATGGTGTCTCCCTGGAGGTCAGGTATAGGTGATTAATGTACAGCTACGCCAACGATCTTCGCTTGACAGCTCTGGGGTGTTTGATGCCGCCACTGATGCGTATGCTTGGCAGTAGTAGTTAATTTGGCTACGGAATGTATATATTCTAGAATTACAAAAAAAAAAAATATGTGCTCTCTAGTTAGGACTTTAATTTTAATTTCTTTTATATTTTATTTTTATTTTTTGTCTTGCTATTTAATATGAAGAAATCTTCAGAGATTCCATTTATTGTTTGCGTGGGTTAAGTCATCCTGAAGGATGACAATTACCAGGTAATAACAACTCTAACTCTAAAAAATAAAAAGACACAATACTGTGACTGGAAAAATACACAAATAACCTGCACATACAAACTCATGACGACGTTTCGGTCAGACTTGGACCATTAACCAGTGTGTGACTAGTTAATGGTCAAGTCGGACCGAAAAGTCGTCATAACTTTCATTCTCCTGTGTGCGAGTTATATGTGTACATCTCCAACTCTGCTGGAACGAAGCCATTTAAAGCTGCCATAACTACTGAACCATTAATTAACGAGACTGATTTCCTCATTGGATGTAAGAAACTCAAGCAGTGTGATGCAATATATTAGTTAAGCACAGCTGGATTATGTAGGTATTTTATCTCCAGTACATGCAACTGTAGGTCTACTGGAGTATGCCAAACAGTCCCTGGCTACATACCTGGTGACAGTCCCTGGTTACATACCTGGTGACAGTCCCTGGTTACATACCTGGTGACAGTCCCTGACTACATACCTGGTTTCAGTCCCTGACTACATACCTGGTGACAGTCCCTGACTACATACCTGGTTTCAGTCCCTGACTACATACCTGGTGACAGACCCTGGCTACATACCTAGTGATAGACCCTGGCTACATACCTGGTGACAGACCCTGGCTACATACCTGGTGACAGAGCCTGGCTACATACCTAGTGATAGACCCTGGCTACATACCTAGTAATAGTCCCTGGCTACATACCTAGTAACAATCCCTGGCTACATACCTTGTGACAGTCCCTGGCTACATACCTGGTGACACACCCTGGCTACATACCTGGAGACAGACCCTGGCTACATACCTGGTGACAGTCCCTGGCTACATACCTGGTGACACACCCTGGCTACATACCTGGCGACAGACCCTGGCTACATACCTGGTGACAGACTGGTGGTGGTGATGGTTCTTGTAGTCAATATAACCGAGCACTTGCAGTGGTCTTGAAGTACCAAGATGATCACAAAATTACCTCGTTCTACTCGACTAATCACTTGTGCCTCGGCGTTTATCATATATTTTATGTAATAAGAGTAATTAAGAGCTTGGAATAAATGATGTGGATAAAAGTTTTAAATACATGTTCTAGTGTGAGGTCATCTGCGGTCCTAAGTTAATTTAGTTAAGTTGTAGGTAAATGTTTATCCATCATTAGCATCAGGTGTTTGTAATACCCAAGGAATGGAGTAGCGATAAAGTATCTAATATCGCTGTGTGAGGTATTCAGTTTAAGCGTTGTCTTGTGATTGTAATAATGATAAACAGTTGTCTTCACTATGGGTGTTGTAGGGTAAGGTACAACCTTGGTGTGAGAGTGTTGGTGTAAGCAGAGGCTAGGACATACACTCGCTCACTCTCACACACCCGTCGCACCAGACAACGCGGATGGACTGAGGTGTAAGGTTTGCGACTCCCAGCCTCGCCTAGCCTTTCACTCCACGGCTGACTGAGTCTTTAAGACCTTCTGGCGTGGTTCCTAGCATCTTCCCAGCTCCTCTTGTTTATGGATTTTTTTTTTTTTAGCTTATCCCGTCTTTTTTTGCATATTTCTTTTTTTCTGGGGGGGGGGACGTGACTAATGTTTTATCTGTTGTTAAAGCTAAAACTTATATTTTAGAGCAAGGAAATGTGTGTGTGTGTGTGTGTGTGTGTGTGTGTGTGTGTGTGTGTGTGTGTGTGTGTGTGTGTGTGTGTGTGTGTACATGGAGCACCTGTGTGTGTGATTACATAGTTAAATAATAAATGTCACAATACGAGGCCTGGTCATGGACTGGGCCGGGGGGGGCGTTGACCCCCCGAAACACCAGGTATACCATGGATAGAACAGTTTGCTCAGATAACATCCAAAATTCCTCAGTAGCGGAGCTTTAAACGTTCAAAGAAAGGTGCCAAAAAAAATCGACGACAACGGAGAGTAAAATTCAAATGTGTAAGTGACAATCTGGCCATTTTGTGTGTAAAACAGTGTGAAAATTTCCATTCCCGTTAAATCACGTTAAATAGATTTCAGTTTACCTATTCTGAACGACTTCGATATTGAATGGCTGCTGCATCTTAGAGCCAGGACAGTACCTACACCAGGACAGTACCTACACTAGGACAGTACCTACACCAGAACAGTACCTACACCAGGACAGTACCTACACCAGGACGGTACCTACACCAGGACAGTACCTACACCAGGACAGTACCTACACCAGGACAGTACCTACACCAGAACAGTACCTACACCAGAACAGTACCTACACCAGAACAGTACCTACACCAGAACAGTACCTACACCAGGACAGTACCTACACCAGGACAGTACCTACACCAGGACAGTACCTACACCAGGAGAGGTGTGGTTTCCTGGACACAAGGCACTGCCATTAGGTGGCATAAGTTTCAATTTACCAGTTTAACTGAATAAAGTGGCCTGGTAGGAAACGCTCTCGCTTCACACACTGAGTGTCCAGGGTTCGATCCTCGGCCGGGTGGAAATAGTGGTCATGTTTCCTAACACCTGCTGTCGCCATTCACCTAGCAGTAAGCAGGTACCTGAGTGTTAGTCGACTGGTGTGGGTGGCATCCTGGGGTACAAGATTGAGGACCACAATGGAAATAAGTTAGACAGTCCTCGATGACGCACTGACTTCCTTGGGTTATCCTGGGTGGCTAACCCTCCACGTTAAAAATCCCAACAAAATCTGATCTTATCTTCCAATTGGCCTCAAAATATTATTGACGATGCACTCTATAAGAAGGATAATAACCCATAAGTTTAGTCCAAATGGGTGCAAATTTAAAATTTTATTTAAATAGCTAAAAAATAATAACCTAATCTTTGGAAAGAGATCAGTTACTGGAGAATGCCTTTTCTAATCGAGTTCAAACTAATACCTGGCTTAGCGCTTCTTTTTGATTATAATAATAATAATAATAATAATCAAACTAATACCATTGGCGGCCTTTATTACAACGTAAGTTGTCACTCTGAGCTGTGTAAATTTTATTTGGAACTTTTGTTAAGGCAATCGTGTTCTGGGTATTTTGAGTGACTGGGGGTAGATAATCAATCATATAAAATAGCCAAGAGCTGCTAACAACGTATATATTGTCTCTATCTGGGCAGTGTGTATGTAATTTACCTCTAAGACAATATGTGGTTTATGGTATTATACTGAAAAAGACGTTTCATCCGTCAGGAACTTTATGAACTGATAATCTCCTTGAGGGCGAAACGTTTTCTCAAAAAAATGCCATACATAACATTTTGTCTTAATCATATATTTGTTTGACTTGTCGAGAATAAACAAGGGATCAGAGTTAGTCTCTTCCTGGGATCAAATCTAATTCAATCACATCCCACAGGCGATGTATGATCCTTAAGGGTTTGGCGTTTCCCAATGAATATAATAACCATAATCTAAAATTTTCTTCAAAAAATCCTGGCAAGTGTAGCCCGCCGGCCCACCACACCTCCAATACACATCACCAAGGACACCATCTTTTTTTTTTTTACATTGTTTACAATTATGGTCGTTTGGTCTCCATGTTCAAGGGTAGGATAGAATGTTATCTATTTTCTTGAATACTTAAATGATCTTAGGCTATGTGGTTATTTTGTCTCCTCTTTTCCTCTTGTTTGCATCCAAGGAATTTTCAGTGTTTTGCGACTCTTCATAGAAATAATAATAATAATAATAATAATAATTTTCAGTGTTTTGCGACTCTTCATAGAAATAATAATAATAATAATAATAATATAATAATAATAATAATAATAATAATAATCTTTATTTCTACAAATACATGATACAACTTATACAGACCATACAGAAAGTCCCTGGTTATGCAGAGCATTTCGGGCACATTAGGTTAATGTTGTCCCCAGGATGCGACCCACACTAGTCGACTAACACCCAGGTACCTACTTACTGCTAGGTGAGCAGGGACGACAGATGTCTAAATTTTTATATAAAAGAGCGCTAGGCCACAAGGACTATACAGCGCTGATGTCTTAAGGAAACACACCCAAATGAATCAAGAGCACTTCACCATCAAGGATCCCCCTTCCTCTTTAAGGGATTGTTCACATAGAGCACCAAACCTGTGTGAGTCACTAAAAACAGTGGTGGTGGAGGTTTTATCCTTTCTGATAAGCATAAAACAGGCTACATGACTGCTGTACTTGTGGAGCCCAATTATTTAGAAGTTAGCCTGTACAGTTAATACAAGCTTTCACTACTTCATTTATGTGATCTGATGATACTTTGTGTATAATTACTCCCAGATCCCTTTGTCTGATGCTTTCATTGCTCTATTACATTATTATTATTATCATAACTAAGCACTAAACCCATAAGGGTCATACAGTAATGCTGCATTGGTTCTGTTTCATATTATTACATAGGGAGAGAGCTAAACCCATAAAGGTCATCATACATTAACTGGGGTATTGGGAGGCAGTCAAATTCAGTTCAAAGAGAGAGGAAGTGGCACTCATTAATATGCATCGTTTTTGTATCACCCCATTTACCTTGCTGGGTTTTCTATTTTGCATAGTATTATTATTACACTCATGGGGGAGTACTCAACTCATGTCATACAGCACTTAGAGGAATAGAAGGCATTCAGATTCAGTTCAAACAACTGGAATTATTATAATCAAGGGGGAGCGCTAAACCCATAGGATTATACAGCGCATGTGGGGGGATGGAAGGTATTCACGCTCAATTCAGGGAACCAGAGCACAGATCCAATTCCCTTGATCAAGAGCCCCTCACCAGCATCAAGGAACCTCCCTTGAGGGGAAGAAACTGGAGTAAATTTCTTAGATCAAGAGCCCCTTACCATCATTTGTGTGATTTGTATTTACAGCAGAGCTATTATGCTCATGGGCAAGTGCTAAACCAGTAGGAATCTTACAGCATCTGGGAAATGAGAGGTAATCAGATTTGATCCAAGGAAGGGAAGAGTATGTATATATGTTGGTAGAATTACCGACAATATGTAAAGTAAAAGGACACAAGTGCAACTAATGTGACATTTTATTGTGGCAACATTTTGCTCTCCTAGAGCTTTGTCAAGCTGTTACAAACAGTACCCTGTGTCCATGTACTGTTTGTAACAGCTTGACAAAGCTCCTGGAGAGTGAAACGTTGCCACAATATCACATTAGTTGCACTTGTGTCCTTTTACTTTACAAGGGACGAGTAGCTCCAATTCCATGGCTCTTGAGTGGCAGATGTGAAAGTAAATTAACCAAGTAGGTCACTGAGATATTTAAGATATTTTTTGGTGGCTAGTAACACTGCTCATTTCAGTACTTTACTCTTCAGAGATCAGGGTAAAAACTATACTCATAGGAGTCATTTAGCACCTGGGAAATAGCAGACATTAAGATTCAAGTCATAGAATGGGAGGGTAAGTTCAGTTCCTTGGATTAAGAGCCCCTCTCCAGCATACTTATTATTGTAATCATAACTAAGCACAGGGTTCATATATCACTGCTCTCCGGCATAAAGGCTCCTTCCCTGAGTAGTTAAGTGAAAAAGGTTTAAGTAATCAAGCTACCCATTCAAGAAAAATACTTTATTGGTAAAAATTTCCAGTGAAGTGAAATATTTGTTCAAGCTACAAATATTTAACATAGGTAAAGGATGTCATGCTCAGGACAAATCAAACTTTCACTCTTGGATTTTCTTTTCACCATTTAAAACATTGCTGCCATGCTTTCTTCCAAGAACTTTTTGTAGATAGCCATAAAGGCAGAAATGAAGGCTTCAATGTGGTATATAGCTTTGGAGCCCAGGTTGAGGCGGTGTTCATGGTATGCTGCTAAACGCGTCACCTCACACTTCAGCTCCCCATCACAGTTACGTACCAGTTCCTTCAACAGACCCTGGAAACAAGTAAATAATCATTATTACATGTACTATGTTGAATACTAACTGCTGCCATTGCCACAATACAGTTAATGCTACAAGTGCTCTGAGAGAAACTGAACAGTGAATACAGAAGTCACTGCTCTAATTTTTTTTAGTGCAGTGGTTGTCTCCCACCAAGGTGCGGGGTGACCACCAAAAAAAAAAAAAAAGAACTGCAACATCTCTACCCATGCTCTGTATTTATACCTTGAAAATAATATCTGGAGGTATGCAATGCGTCAGGAGCTCGTATATTCTTTCACGAACTTCCAGTAATCGTTTGGGGCTCTGTTCCTCTATAATTTTGGCAGCAGTGCCTTGTAAGAAAGTTTCCCAGTCAGGGACACTGACTTCCTGTTGTGGGTTGAAGGGGTAGCTGGAAAAAATAATCATACAAAAATGGGATTAAAATTGGTCTCAATAAAATATGGTAATTAATAAAAAAATAATTTGACCTGTTACAAAACAAGCAAAATATCCTGTACTTTGCTATTAAAAAACATCTGCTACTGGATTTATTTGCTCTTGATCCAAGGAATTGTAACTACCCTCTTCTTTCTTGGTTCAAATTTGATTACTATTCCCTACTCACTATATACAGGCAGTGAACATGTGTAGCGCATTAGGAATAGATGTATTGGAGCCCAATTCAATACTGTACATAGTATCTACAGTAGATATAAGAAATTCCAAAAAGAGCAGAGATCAATTCAATACTGTACATAGTATCTACAGTAGATACAACAAATTCCAAAAAGAGCACAGAGTATAAGCCCAATCAGTTAACCAAAGTTCAACTGCAATTAGGTGGATACAAAATGAAGTAATCAAGTTCTTGGTTTCAAGGTGACCCACTTGCATTATCATGCTAATGGCACATCAGCTGGTTACACAAATGAATGCTGATGATGGCTATAAAGAACTACAAGGCAATGCAAGTTAAACACAGTTATGAACTTACTGTTGCACCTTGCAGGCCTCGCACATCAGCAGGGCTCGTCGTAAGTTGCGGTTGGATTTTTCTCCAATTTTTCTTGCCAACTCTGGGGGAAGGGAAAGGCCCTCCTTTTTGCACACAGTCTGAAAATTTAAAACATTTAGTTCCAAAATTCACATAGATAGTCATTATTAGAAGTCAATAATTATAACCAACTGGCAAACGAACACAAAATAATGTTAACTACTTAAAGAAAAAAAAAAAAGACTGCAAGTAACAATAACCAAATGGGCCCTGGTAACAACATCAACTTAGCAAGGGTGTTCTTGTACTTTCAGACAACAGATGTCTTTTGTTTGCTGCAGGATCTAAGAAAGGTATTCCCATATCCAGTAAGGCCAGCTCCCTCTATCTCAATGCACACAAAACTTTCGTTATTATATCTCTGCCTGCAACATAGTAGTCTTGACATATTTGTGTTTTGTTCCAATCCCATCTTAAAATTTTATCATGCCCATCCATTTAAGTGATATTTCTTGTACACAACACAGCACTCCTTAAAATCAAATATAATGTATACTCTAACTCATTAGCAGTCTTCAGATTACTTAGGCTATTCAAAATTTTAATCAAAATTTGTCATTTTTTCTTTTACTACATCTGCTAGTGCTTTTTTTCCTAATCATAAACTAAAACAGTTTTATATCATTTATGTAATTTATAAATATTAAGTAGCTTCAGTGTTAGTTAAGTCAATTCAAAATAATACTGCATCCTTTGAGCTTTCCAAAAATTTTAATATTTGAATGTTTTTTGAGATACGTACAGTGGTACCTTGGCTTACGAGTTTAATTCGTTCCGTGACCAAGCTCGTAACTCAATTTGCTCGTATGTCAAGTCAATTTTCCTCAATGACATTAACTGAAATGCCATTTATCCGTTCCAACCCCCAAAAAACCACCCCAAGATAGGCAGAGATAGGCTTAATCGCTTAACTTACTTGCTACACTCTTCACTACTTCACTCACCACCTTCACTACTCTACCACCACTACCACTACTCCACCGACCACTGTCACTACTCCACCCACCATTATCACTGCTCCATCCACCACCATATCTATTCCATCCACCATTACCACTACTCCATCCACCACCATCACTACTCCACCCACCACTATCACTACTCCACCACCACTATCACTACTCCACCCACCACCATCATTACTCCAACCACCACTAGCACTACTCCACCCACCACCATCATTACTCCACCCACCACTATCACTACTCCACCCACCACCATCATTACTCCACCCAACACTATCACTACTCCACCCACTGAAGAAACCTCTGTGAGGCAGGTAAATATCACAGAGGCCTTCCTTAATGTTTCTGGAAAAACTCTGAGTACTGAAATGGAGGTTACCTCTTCCCCGGATTTATATGAGAACCAAACAAGGGACGAGGTACCTCACTACAATCTGGGATTAATGTGGGAGTATTATCCTCCCAGTTATGTCTTGGAAGAGCATAACAAATAACAAAAAAAAGGCACAATACCGTGACCAGAACGATACACAAGTATGCGCGGAGCCTCAGACCGACATAATGAGATTAGTCACGAGGGAGCATTCACCAAATTCAACTTCAATAACAAAAACATAAAGTGGGACCAAGTAAACCAAGTCCTAACCGATATAAGCTGGGAAGATATACTAAGCAACACAGACCCCAACTTATGCCTAGAACAGATTAACTCGGTGGCACTCGATGTATGCACAAGGCTTATTCCTCTAAGAAAAAGGAGGAGTAGATGTAAAATAGAAAGAGACAGGCGCTCCCTTTACAGGCGACGGAAAAGAATAACAGAGCGGCTAAAAGAGGTCAATATATCTGAAATGCGTAGGGAGACACTGGTCAGAGAAATAGCAAGCATCGAACTTAAGCTAAAAGAATCCTTTAGGAGTCAGGAATCGCGGGAAGAACTAAAAGCCATAAATGAAATCGAAAGAAACCCAAAGTATTTCTTCTCCTATGCCAAATCAAAATCGAGAACAACGTCCAGTATTGGGCCCCTACTTAAACAAGATGGGTCCTACACAGATGACAGCAAGGAAATGAGTGAGCTACTCAAGTCCCAATATGACTCAGTTTTTAGCAAGCCGCTAACCAGACTGAGAGTCGAAGATCAAAATGAATTTTTTATGAGAGAGCCACAAAATTTGATTAACACAAGCCTATCCGATGTTATCCTGACGCCAAATGACTTCGAAACAGGCGATAAATGACATGCCCATGCACTCTGCCCCAGGGCCAGACTCATGGAACTCTGTGTTCATCAAGAACTGCAAGAAGCCCCTATCACGAGCCTTTTCCATCCTATGGAGAGGGAGCATGGACACGGGGGTCGTCCCACAGTTACTAAAAACAACAGACATAGCCCCACTCCACAAAGGGGCAGTAAAGCAACAGCAAAGAACTACAGACCAATAGCACTAACATCCCATATCATAAAAATCTTTGAAAGGGTCCTAAGAAGCAAGATCACCACCCATCTAGAAACCCATCAGTTACACAACCCAGGGCAACATGGGTTTAGAACAGGTCGCTCCTGTCTGTCTCAACTATTGGATCACTACGACAAGGTCCTAAATGCACTAGAAGACAAAAAGAATGCAGATGTAATATATACAGACTTTGCAAAAGCCTTCGACAAGTGTGACCATGGTGTAATAGCGCACAAAATGCGTTCTAAAGGAATAACAGGAAAAGTCGGTCGATGGATCTATAATTTTCTCACTAACAGAACACAGAGAGTAGTCGTCAACAGAGTAAAGTCCGAGGCAGCTACGGTGAAAAGCTCTGTTCCACAAGGCACAGTACTCGCTCCCATCTTGTTCCTCATCCTCATATCCGACATAGACAAGGATGTCAGCCACAGCACCGTGTCTTCCTTTGCAGATGACACAAGAATCTGCATGACAGTGTCTTCCATTGCAGACACTGCAAAGCTCCAGGCGGACATCAACCAAATCTTTCAGTGGGCTGCAGAAAACAATATGAAGTTCAACGATGAGAAATTTCAATTACTCAGATATGGTAAACATGAGGAAATTAAATCTTCATCAGAGTACAAAACAAATTCTGGCCACAAAATAGAGCGAAACACCAACGTCAAAGACCTGGGAGTGATCATGTCGGAGGATCTCACCTTCAAGGACCATAACATTGTATCAATCGCATCTGCTAGAAAAATGACAGGATGGATAATGAGAACCTTCAAAACTAGGGAGGCCAAGCCCATGATGACACTCTTCAGGTCACTTGTTCTATCTAGGCTGGAATATTGCTGCACACTAACAGCACCTTTCAAGGCAGGTGAAATTGCCGACCTAGAAAATGTACAGAGAACTTTCACGGCGCGCATAACGGAGATAAAACACCTCAATTATTGGGAGCGCTTGAGGTTCCTAAACCTGTATTCCCTGGAACGCAGGAGGGAGAGATACATGATTATATACACCTGGAAAATCCTAGAGGGACTAGTACCGAACTTGCACACGAAAATCACTCACTACGAAAGCAAAAGACTTGGCAGACGATGCAACATCCCTCCAATGAAAAGCAGGGGTGTCACTAGCACGTTAAGAGACCATACAATAAGTGTCAGGGGCCCGAGACTGTTCAACTGCCTCCCAGCACACATAAGGGGGATTACCAACAGACCCCTGGCAGTCTTCAAGCTGGCACTGGACAAGCACCTAAAGTCAGTTCCTGATCAGCCGGGCTGTGGCTCGTACGTTGGTTTGCGTGCAGCCAGCAGCAACAGCCTAGTTGATCAGGCTCTGATCCACCAGGAGGCCTGGTCACAGACCGGGCCGCGGGGGCATTGACCCCTGGAACTCTCTCCAGGTAAACTCCAGGCACATAAAAGAGAGAAGCTTACGACGACGTTTCGGTCCGACTTGGACCATTGACAAAGTCACACTGTGTGACTTTCTCAATGGTCCAAGTCGGACCGAAACGTCGTCGTAAGCTTCTCTCTTTTATGTGTGGGTTATTTGTGTATTGGAAGAGCATGTGAGATGAGAAGAAGTACCTGACATTCTCCTGGGTACAGAGCTGAATTTGACTTCAGATATGCCGCCAACTAGTGGCAGCGTATCTGAAGCTCGCTCATAACTCGGATTTTGGCTCGCAACTCAAAGCAAAAATCAACCAAGTGACAGCTCGTAACTCGGAAAACTCGTAAGTTGGGGTACTCGTAAGTCAAGGTACCACTGTATTATTATTATCTAGGCAAGCAGAGATGGATGACAAAGATATTAATAAATCTGGGGTGGACAACTGGAGGGGTAGGGGTTGTCCCTGGAATGGTTAGAGGGAAGGGATAAAAGAGGCTTTGAGCTTTAGGGGATTCAGCATCCAGCAGGCTTATATGAGCATGTTTGTTAGGAGTGAATGGAGACAAGTGGGTTTTAATAGACATGACATGCTGAAGTGTGAGCAACATAACTTTTATGAAGTGATTCAGGAAAACTGATTAGGTAGGCTAAAGTCCTGGAGGTTGGTAGGGCAGTGCATGCACTCTGAAGGAGGGGTGGGGATGTTGCAAAGGGTAATCTGTTAGCACACTTCCGTAAGACAGCAACTGAATAAATGATGGTGAATGATGTCATCTATGAGTCACCCTGCCTTGGCAGGAGATGGGCCAGGCTTGTCTGGTACTTTCCTGATCAGCCAGGCTGTTGCTGCTGGAGGCTTGTTGCCCCACATATCCATCACAGCATGGTTGATCTGGCACCTGGTGAAAATACTTGTCCAGTTTCCTCTTGAAGACTTCTACACTTGTTCCAGCCATGTTTCTGATATCTGGTCTAAGTAAGTACAAGACTTCATACATGATATAATCTAATGAACACAGTATCTTACCTGCAGCACCTGTGCAATGGTCTCTAAGGAGGGAGCTGCTACTCTTATTCCTAGACATCTACTGCGGATAGGTGGGATCACCTTTGATGTGGAATTGGCACAAAGAATCAATCGGCAAGTGGCTGAATATTTCTCCATTGTCCTGCGAAGGGCATGCTGAGCATCTTTAGTCAGCTTATCAACTTCTGTCAAAATCACCACTGAAAGAATAAGGGGATGCTACTTTCATTTTTACATCACAACAGTCAGAAAAGCCATGTTTAAAATACATACAATGTTTTGGTAAGAAATATGCAACAGTCAAGTGGTTTTTGAACCTACAGTTCATTTGCATACTGTGGTGCTTTGTTTCCTGTCAGGAGTGCAGGGATGATATTTAATATCCTGTACTTTAATAGCCAGTACTTTAACTAGTCTGGTTGTTCAGACAAGCACCAGACAAGCCTGGCCCAGGGTTGGGATTTGACAGAAGGAAAACTTGAAAGCCTTCAAAAGTATACTATATGGGTATCCACGACATCACTGTACACTCATTAGGACAAATTCGTGAACATCCTTATTTGAAGGCTTTAATTATCCAATATTTGTCTGATGCACAGCCAGTGAATAAATTCAATTATCCAACAGTTTTATGTTTCAACTGATTTCCCACACCCACATTTCTTCTTAGTGTGGTCATTATTTCTTATGAATGTCAATGTTAACCAGATTAGTGATACAAAGATGTCACCTCTGAAAAATAAAACAAGTTCAAATCTGAAAAAATTTGCAACATCTAGGAACATTACACTCCACAAATTTGTAGGGACACTACTGTAGTATTGGAAAGCTTTAATGAACTACAGTATTTACATTTTCTTAAAGGATTATAATGAATCAAACACTGAATATAATGAAGAGATAATAGAAATATAAAAACTTACCTTTTCATTGCATGTTGAATTTGACAAATTAAAGCCTAGTAATAAAAATATATCTTTATGTATTTCTACAAGTACATGTACAAGGTATACAGACCATAGCTGACAGCAATAATATACTACTATATAGAAAGGGAAAAAGAGTGAGTGGTGCACTTAGGAGTCTGTGGAGACAAAGAACTTTGTCCTTGGAGGCAAAGAGGGGAATGTATGAGAGTATAGTTTTACCAACGCTCTTATATGGGTGTGAAGCGTGGGTGATGAATGTTGCAGCGAGGAGAAGGCTGGAGGCAGTGGAGATGTCATGTCTGAGGGCAATGTGTGGTGTGAATATAATGCAGAGAAATTCGTAAGTTTAGGAAAGTTAGGAGGAGGTGCGGGATTAACCAAAACTGTTGCCAGAAGGGCTGAGGAAGGGTATGGTTGAGGTGGTTCGGACATGTAGAGAGAAATGAATGAGCGAAACAGAATGACTTCAAGCAGTGTATCAGTCTGTAGTGGATGGAAGGCTGGTAAGGGGTCGGCCTAGAAGGGTTGAGGGACGGGGAATAAAGGAGTTTTGTTGCGAGGGGCTGGACTTCCAGCACAATGCTGTGAGCGTTGTTTGATAGGAAGTGAATGGAGACAAATGGTTTTTTAAATACTTGACGTGCTGTTGGAGGTGAAAAGTAACATTTATGAAGGATCAGGAAACCGCAGCCGGAAATGAGACCCTTTGAGATGGGAAAGTACAGTGCCTGCACTCTGAAGGAGGGGTGTTAATGTATGCAGTTTAAAAACTGTAGTGTAAAGCACCCTTCTGGCAAGACAGTGATGGAGTGAATGATGGTGAAAGTTTTTCTTTTTCGGGCCACCCTGCCTTGGTGGGAATCGGCCGGTGTGATAATAAAATAAAAAAAAAATAGAAAGCCGCTTGTTATGCAAAGCATTTCAGGCAAATTAGGTCAGTTTTGTCCCAGGATGCGACCCACACCAGTCGACTAACACCCAGATACCCGTTTTACTGATGGGTGAACATAGACAACCAGTGTAAAGAAACACTCCCAATGTTTCTACCCTTGCTGGAAATCATACCCAGACCCTCACTGTGTGAAGCAAGAGCTTTAGCCACCAGGCCACAGGGCCAGTGATGAAATTTCATATAGCAATAAAATGTTCATATAAAGTTACTAGTTGTTCCTATCAAAACTGTGTTTTCTACTTATCTAAACTCTGCACTATTTACAAGTTTTCTATTAGGTGTTTCAGGGTGGTAATTCATGTAACATAGGTAGAAATACAATACAAGGACAAGGATTTTTTTTCAAGAATGGACTACACTGCATATGATCCATCAAGATATTTAAAATTGTCTCTTAATAAACAAATTTTTCATCATGATTGGCATTTCCTTCGACATCTGATTAGTAGTTCCATTATTACCTGATTGATGTTTCTTTCAACACCTGATTGGTGTTTCCATCAATACCTGCCTAGTGTTTGCTTTAACACTGTGTCAACAGTTTCTACCCTAATGCAAAACACTGATAAAAAAAAAACAATATTTTGTAAAAAACTGGGTGACAAATATTAAAAGCTTTACAGGACCCACTAAAAAATTGAAAACTCAAAGACTGGGAGCCCTGTGCTTCTGAGTGTGTATCTGCGTACCTTTAAATTCTCGCTGGCCACTAGTGTCTAACTGCTGGGCAGAGGCCACAGTTTTGATGAGCTCCTGAATCACCACACGATCATAGAAGCCAACATCACTGGGGTTCACCTCCAAGTGATAGTTACTGGCAATAGTTATAATTTCCAGCTTCTTTCTAGAAGGAGTCTGAAGGAAAAGAGTAATGATTAAAATGCAAGATATTGAACAAACAGCACTTTACATATATGCACAATATTGAGAACCAACTTTTATTAATCACTCAAAAAAGATTAAAATTATTTTTTTTATTGTGTCTCAAGTTGGTAAATTATTTTGTGATGGTTTTAATTTTTTGCTTTGGATGATGTAATGCCATGAGTAAGGGAGAAGCAAAGTGCAAGAATGAGTGCCACTAATGTCACAAATTTGGGTTTCATAAGTGATCGTATTAAAATGAATGAGCAATGAATATTACATCTAATATTTGTGCATTCATTTTCTGACGAGTTCGTAAAATTTATGCTGCCCAAGAATTTTTCTTAATTACTATACTGCTTTTCTTTAAGAATTTATTTAAGATACTGAACTTAACAAATTTCAAAATACTACACTTGAAATGTAAAGACCATTGCCATATTTAACTCAGGGTAGTTTAATATTTAGTTGCCTGAGAAACACAGAACTATTTCTATTCCTTGCCATTTTGGGAACTTTTTTGAAGGTGACTTCATGGACAATCTTCTCCAGGCATTGTAAATGTCTCTAAATTAAAATGACTACTGAAGGAGTGCCTGGGTCGCTCAATAAAGTATCACATGTTTTGGCTAAGCCATCAAATTAATAAAGCAGCTGCCACCCATGGCTCGGTTGATAGCGTACTCAGCTTACATAAACAGCAATGGTATACAGTAATATTGACAGTAATAAAATATTGTACACTCAATTTTAGTTATAATGAATAACTAATAAAAGTGTAATGAACACATGTCAATGCTCAATAATGCCCAAATGGAGACAGAAATTAAGAAAATGAATTGGTGTGTATATTTTGACTCCCCTGCTCGGGTCGGCCCCAGCAGGAGGTTGAAATATGCAGACCATTTCATTTTCTGAGTTTCTGACTCTATATGGGTTATTATTTAGTTATAATAATTACTGGAAAAGAAATATAGTGATGACAACAAGTCTATGAATGAGAATGCTAAATAGAATCTGAATAAGCAGGTTGCAACAGAATTACTACTTGGTATTCATATTCATTATATGTACTTCTTTATATATATTCAATATATGTACCCTGTTATCTGCTTGTTATTCTCATAAATATATTGAGAAACCCAGAAGTGTAGAGGGAAGAAACCTTAACCAACAAGCAGGAATATAGTACAGTATTTGAAAATACAAAACTGTATTACTATACATTCCAAACACTAGTGTTAAAATTTAAGAATTTTTGTATGAAATCAATTGCATATTAAATACAATAAAAAAGAAATCCATCTACAAGATATGCCGCAGTACTTACCATAATTACAATTTCATTTAATTTTAATGAAAGTTGGAATACTGTACACTGAAGTTGTGATCACTGATGACGTTCAACAACTATATAACATCAGTTGAACAAGTAAATATTAGAAGCCAGCTGGTACACACATAATCATCCATGCACCTCTAGCACACCTGCAATGAAGTTAACATGAAGAAATAAAATAAAATAATTTGTAACAAAAAGAACGCACTTCAAAATTCTGATGCTCAATTCGAAGTCTTTCAACGCCAGGGCCATATAACTCTCTGAGCAGACACATTATTCGTGTTTTCTTGCCAGCTCCCGATGGCCCATAGACGAGCAGATGGGGAAAGTCGCCATATTCAACCTGAAAATATAATTTCATACAAATATAAAATTTTAATTAACAAGTACTGTATACAAGAAGTGTACTGAACTGTACTAACAAATTAATGAAATAAAAATACAGAATAACAGAGTTGTATTCACAGAGCTCCTTGTTAAATACATGTATCTAAATAGTACAGCCTCTCCTCATTTAGCAACGTACTCGTTTACTGATGACTCAGACTTACAGCAGGCTCTCTGACCAGTATGCATACCTCAGTAATGTATATTAGAGCTGATTTCCTCTATTCTGTTTATTACAATACATATACAGTGCACTACTGTGTAAACATTTAAAAATATACTAAAAATGTTATAAATGGTACAAAGGTGACATTAAAAGAATATCAAAGATGGTCGACACAAACCCACTACCATTATAGTACGCTCCTTGCTTATCAACAAATTCATTTATTGGCATTTATTGAATGGGACTCCATTGTTAAGTGAGAGGCTGTACCAGAAACTGTGGCATACAAATTGTTACCCTTTATTTCCACCAGAAATTAATTGATAATAATAATAATCTTTATTTCTACAAGTACATGTACAAGGTGTACAGGCCTAGCTAACATCCATGACATACTACTATACAGAAAGTCCCTTGTTATGCAGAGCATTTCAGGCAAATTAGGTTGGTTTTGTCCCCAGGATGCAACCCACACCAGTCAACTAACACCCAGGTACTTATTTTTTTTTACTGATAGGTGAACATGGACAGCAGGTATCTTAAGGAAACACGTCCTAATGTTTCCAGCCATACGGGGGATTTCAGAAATATTTTATTGCATTTTGTGTAAATAATTGAGTGATGCTATCACTAAAGCACTGGTAGACATGCTCTAATAAAAAGTAATTTTAATAGTCATATTAATCATCCTCAGAATCATCCATATGAACAAAACTAAATTTCTCAGACATTTCCAAATTGCTGGCAAAGAGTTCTCCAATATATGAATTTAGTAAAACTATCAACAAACATTAAACTAACTTAGCCTAACCTAAACTTGTACAGTATTATATTACTGGATAACTCATGGTTATACTATAACAAGTCATCAAACACCCAGATAATTTGTTGACATTAGCGATTTGAAAAAATCAGTGACTTCCCAGGCACCATCCTCACACTTTTAAACAAATGCTGAGGAAAAAGATTTTGTTCCGATTATTAACCCAGAGGTTTAGTACCCCAGGATAACACAATAAAATAATATCATTCATTTCTTTTTTAAACATTTCTGAATATACCATAGTAGCTTAGTAGATTAAATATACAGACTTTTGCTGATATGAATTTGCAAAACAATGGTTCTCAGCAGCATAGGCTTATGTTCAAGTGCTTTCTGTCACCTTTATTAATGAGTCACAAGATAGTTCAATTTTCTGTCTTGCTATTATGAATCACTAGTCTCAGTTGTCTGTCTGTCTGTGTTGGTCTGTCATTGTAATTATTGTGTTTGTTGAGTTTGAGGAGCCACTGAGTTTATGCGACACAAAGCTCTGCCTCTTGGTGTCAACTGAAGACATATTGCCCAGGGAATAAGAGTTCTTTTAGAAAGAAACAATAACCCACTATTTCAGTCAATAACAGAGCTACATGACCCTTGGGTTTGTGCAATTTGATAATAAAATAATAATGACAATAATAAAATAATCAATATCTAATAATAATGAAAAAGTGTAGAATACCGACATATTCAAGTAAAAGACACAAGTGCAACTAATGGACCATTATGTGGCACGTTTCGTTCCAGTAGCTTTACAGCCATTACTTGATAAAGTCCTGAAGCGAAACTTGCAAATAAATTCAATTAGTTGCATTGTGTCTTACTTTACAATAATAATAATAATAATAATTAATAATAATAATCCAGTTAGAAAAAGCAGACCTTAGTGGTACTATCATCTATACCCTACCAGAGCCAGTCATTGGTTTTCCCTCCACAGATCATTAAAAAGGAAGATGAATGGCATCCCCATCACTAAAATCTAGAACTCTCTACATGAAGATTTCAAAGGTTCCCTATCTAGCAATTGCTGCAAAGCTACTTAATCTTAACAGCAATATACTGTACTATGATAAGAAATCCTAAAACCTGCTGTTTTCATCCAATCATATCCCTGTTCTTGTTTCAGCTTTCTTTAAAATTCCACATATTGTGATTTTTTATGAATTAATATGTAACTTGTATCTAATTTTAAGCTCCTACTAATATTGTGTATTAGATCTTTAGAAAAAAATAAAACTACTGTCAGTAAATTTTAGGTGTAGTATACCTGGAGGGTGTTCCAGGGGTCAACGCCCCCGCAGCCTGGCCCATGACGTATAGTACAGTCTAAGCTTTGCCCGAGATGCTACGCATTCTATGGGCCTTCTGTTTATTGTATGTCTTGCAGAGTAATACTGAAATTTAGATCAGTAGCTACATTTGAATTTGACCAACATTCATAGTAAGCAATACAAACGTTATAGCAAATTGTTTCAGAAAAACACGTAATAATTATATACTTCGTTGTTTACATTAATGCCAAAGAGTGCAAACTTTAGCATTCTTTTAATCCAAATTAGTTATTCATCTAGTAGTTATAAGTTTATTTTAAGGCTGTCAGAAATGCTCTTTATAACCTGGGGTTTAGTAAGTTTATTTACTCAAAGGTACAAAGGTATGTTAATGATGTCAGCTATTCTTAAATCAACTGTAAGTTGTGCTTTGTAGAAATAAATTTTATTATATATCATATACATTCAGCATCCTATGGGCATTCAAATTATTGTTTTATACTGTTATTTTGAAATAACAGTACAAAACATAACATTGCTATTTCTGGTAATCTACAGGAAATTGTTCCTCAACACTGTTAACGATTTAAGATTCATATTATTATTATAATCATAACTAAGAGCGACACTAACAATGGTCATAAAGCATCAAGATTCATATAACAAATAACACTCACCATCTTTTTCAGTTGATTCGCTTGTTCCAGATGATAATCCAATTTACCCAATTCTCTTGGCCGGTATTTATCAACCCACAAACTCATTTTTATCTTTCCAATTCAAAATTATGCGCCAGGGATTTATAAAAGAGCTGCCACACAGCTTAATACTCAGCTAAATGAGTAAGAAGAGACAGCCAGACAAACCGCGGGAAATTATTGTTGTTGGGGTTACTAAGGGCCACCAAAGTTTAGGCTTTAGTGAGGCTTGAATAAGTTTATTTACAGATACACATATGTACAGTCAGGCAGTGATTTATTTCCATTGGAGTCCTTGAGAAATAGTCCCAAATCTGGACTGGAATGAGAAAGGAAACAAAGTTTTATCGGGAAGGAGAACCGGGAACTTTAACCCCGGTGTACAAATCCCAGGTCTAAACATGGGCAGAACCAGGTGTTTAGGCCTGGGAAATTGATATGCTGAATGTTGAAGACAGAGTAAAACAATTGAAGCTAAATCATGTTTATAAAATTGCTCACAAACAGTGTCCAGAATATCTTGCTGTCAATTTTGTCAAGGTTGGGAACCAAAGTAATCATAGTACTAGGGGGAGAGAGCACAACTTTGTAGTACCCACAGTCATTGGCCAGGCTTCAAACACCTTTTATTGTACAGCAATAAAGGAATGGAACAGACTACCCGCACATGTCAGAGCCAGTCATTGCATGAACCAGTTCAAGAAGAGTGCCAAAAGGTGTCTGATGAATGTAGCTACAGAAAGGGAGGGGATTGATTTTCTATTTTTTAGCTAACATACGTGTAAATTTTACCTTATTCCTAGTAATGACCTTCGTATTGTAGATAGTCTTAATGACCCTCGTGTAGTAGATCGTCTTTTTAGTTTGATAATAAGATGTTATCTTCATTATAGAATAATAAGAAAATACTATAACCTTTATATTATAATAAGAAGGTAAAATGGACCCCAATGGAAATAAGTCACTCTGTTTGACTTTTTGGGTTATCCTAGGTTCTCTCCACATATGCTGCTATGTAAGATAATTCTATGTAACTGTATTTGTGTATACCTGAATAAACTTACTTATATTGTAGTTGCTGGGTTGAAGGGATAAGACGGCCACACGAACCCTCCCTCTACCAGGTACCTTTTGACGGTCCTATGACCACATGAACCTTCTACCAGGTACCGCTTTACGCCACGAAACAACCTCAAAATTTTATTAATTAAACACATCTGGAAGCGTCAATGATATATCAATATTGGGGGGGTTGGGATGATGTTGTGGAAGCCGGATTGGGGCTAAAGCCTCAGAGTGAAGAAAAGGTAGGGAGACGCTGCATTCCAAGGACACAACTCATGAAAGTCAGCAGAATAAAATCTGAGCATCAGAGCCCTTCATCAGCATCTAGGTACCTCCCTTGAACTGCATAAAATAGGTAAATGATGGCTCCCATACAAACTATACTGCTAAGTATACTTATTGTCTAACCTTGGTCTATTACGTGCCGCAAACTGCCCTTCTCACACTATACCATTCACTCATTTATCCATACCTCACCTATGCTATTTGTGCTTGGGGATCAACTGCAGCAACACATCTAAAGCCAATAATAACCCAACAAAAAGCCGCAGTAAGAATAATCACTAAATCCCATCCCTGGCAACCCCCCCCCCCACTCTTCATAGATCTAAACTTACTCCCTGTTCAGAACATCCACACTTACTACTGTGCAGTCTATATCTACAGGACCTTAAATTCCAATATTAACCTTGACCTAAAATGCTTCCTTGATAGTTGTGACAGAACCCACAGGCATAACACCAGACACAAACATCTCTATGACATTCCCCGTGTCCGACTAAACCTTTACAAAAATTCAATGTGTGTCAAAGGGCCTAAAATCTGGAACACCCTACCTGAAAATTCTAGAACTGCAGACATATTCATCACTTTCAAAACTACAGTTAGAAAACATCTTATCTCCCTGATACACCCCGACAACTAACTACATGTTAACCTGGAGTATTACCTGGAGTTTACCTGGAGAGAGTTTCGGGGGGTTCAAACGCCCCGCGGCCCGGTCTGTGACCAGGCCTCCTGGTGGATCAGCGCCTGATCAACCAGGCTGTTGCTGCTGGCTGCACGCAAACCAACGTACGAGCCACAGCCCGGCTGATCAGGAACTGCCTTTAGGTGCTTGTCCAGTGCCAGCTTGAAGACTGCCAGGGGTCTGTTGGTAATCCCCCTTATGTGTGCTGGGAGGCAGTTGAACAGTCTCGGTCCCCTGACACTTATTGTATGGTCTCTAAACGTGCTGTGAACCCCTGCTTTTTCATTGGGGGGATGGTGCATCGTCTGCCAAGTCTTTTGCTTTCGTAGTGAGTGATTTTCGTGTGCAAGTTCGGTACTAGTCCCTCTAGGATTTTCCAGGTGTATATAATCATGTATCTCTCCCTCCTGCGTTCCAGGGAATACAGGTTTAGAAACCTCAAGCGCTCCCAGTAATTGAGGTGTTTTATCTCCGTTATGCGCGCCGTGGAAAGTTCTCTGTACATTTTCTAGGTCGGCAATTTCACCTGCCTTGAAAGGTGCTGTTAGAGTGCAGCAATATTCCAGCCTAGATAGAACAAGTGACCTGAAGAGTGTCATCATGGGCTTGGCCTCCCTAGTTTTGAAGGTTCTCATTATCCATCCTGTCATTTTTCTAGCAGATGCGATTGATACAATGTTATGGTCCTTGAAGGTGAGATCCTCCGACATAATCACTCCAGGTCTTTGACGTTGGTGTTTCGCTCTATTTTGTGGCCAGAATTTGTTTTGTACTCTGATGAAGATTTAATTTCCTCATGTTTACCATATCTGAGTAATTGAAATTTCTCATCGTTGAACTTCATATTGTTTTCTGCAGCCCACTGAAAGATTTGGTTGATGTCCGCCTGGAGCCTTGCAGTGTCTGCAATGGAAGACACTGTCATGCAGATTCGGGTGTCATCTGCAAAGGAAGACACCTGGTGGTTCACAATTACACTCACCCACTGACTATAAACACAGAAATACGAATCTTAATCTTAAAATAATGAACCCTAACTAGTCATAAGTTTGCCTATGATACTCCAATATAGACATTACGTATTGTGCCAAAACAAAAGCATTCACAAAGCTAAACTTACAAACTATAATGTAGTCACTTAGCCTTAATACCATAATCTGTAATAATTTAAAGTTTAGAATTAGTCAAAGTCTACCCGAAATGCATAGCCATGCTAGGTGTCCTAGTGCCCCCCTCTGTAATTAGTATTTTAAAACATGTAAACCACACAATATCCAAAATCTGTAAACCCCGCATTGTAATCCTTATAGAGAATAAACTTGATTGATTGATTGTCGTTTATTATTGTGAGAACGCTAAACCCGTAGGGATTATATAGCGGATGTAGGGGAGGGAGATGGAAGGCATTCAGGGTTAATTTAGGGAACTGGATCTGTGATCCAGTTCCCTAAATCAAGAGCCTTTGACCAGCATCAAGGAACCTCCCTTGAGGAGTGTTCATTGTCGTATTCATAGAAAATGCTAAACCGAGTCTTTCACTGTTATACAAGATTAAAAAAAAATGTAAAAGGGGGAGAAAGGAGATATTGTTAGGCAATGAGTAGAAAGGATAGTGAAGTTGATGTGTCAAATCAATGTCAGTTAAGAAATCAGCGCCTGCATTAAAGGGGTAACATCAGAGAATGCTCAGGAAATATGAGAGGGTGTTGAAGGTATTTGAGATGAAGAGCATTACAGTATTACAAAAAAAAAAAGCGCTAAACCTACAAGGGTCATACAGCGCAGCGGGGCAGGGGATAGTGCAGGGTTATAAAGTAGCAGCAAGGGTGGAGTGGACAGCAGAGGGAAACTTAAAAATGGCTGTAAGTGATAGAACATTAAACAAATATTAGATTGTCTGGACGCCCTGACACAGACTTCTTGAAGCCATCGTATGTATATTATTTTAATTATGGGGGAGTGCTAAACCCGTAGGAATATACAGCGGGAGGGGGGATGGAAGGTATTCAGGCTTAATTCAAGGAACTGGAGCACAGATCCAATTCCCTGGATCAAGAGCCCCTCGCCAGCATCAAGGAACCTCCCTTGAGGGGCATTGGCTGTATAACTTTGGCGGGTTTAGCTCTTATTCTGATTGTAATAATAATAATAATAATAAGTGAAGCCATCAGTTAACACATTAGTTGCATGTGAATGCATCTGAAAATACTCAGTGAAGAGTTGTGTGCCACCACTCAGGATTAGCATATGGGAGTGCACCATAAACTAGCTGCTCAAGTAACACAACTATAAAAATAAAGAATAAACAGGAATTTAAGGAATGTGGGACATATTTGTATCATAAGCTTCCAAACAAGGATTTGGAGGAATGGGAGGCATTCAGGTTTGATCCAAGAAAGAGCAAAGGTTCAGTTCCTTAGATCAAGAGCCCCTCACCAGCATCAAGATCATGGGGGAGAGCTAAACCTGCAGAGATTATACATCTCCTGTGGGGAAGGAGATGGAAGGGATTCAGGAAAAATTCTGGGAACTGGAGTAGGAGATCCAGTTCTATAAATCAAAAGCCCTCTCACCAGCATCAATTATTTTTATAATCAAAATCATTTGCTAAACCACCAGTGCTCACCAGCATCAAGGATTATAATAAAAAGAGCTAAACCTACACAAGACCAGCATCAAGGAACCTCCCTTGAGGGGTACCAGCATCAAATTATTTTATTATTATAATCACGGGGGAGCGTTAAACCCATAGGATTATACAGCGCATGTGGGGGGGTTGATGGAAGGTATTCAGGGAAACAAATCACAGATCCAATTCCCTAGATCAAGAGCCCCTCACCAGCATCAATGAACCTCCCTTGAGGAGTACCAGCATCAAGAAATCTCCCATGAAGCAGAGTGGTAGTTAGCATAATGATTTTTTTTATTACAGGTTTATTAAAAAAACAAGTGCTAAACTGTATTCATCATACAGACTTTAAAAAGAGGGAAGTGTAACAAGAGATGCAACAAGTCTGAAGGTGGCAAGTGACAGCAGATGATAAAGGAGGGAGACAAACAAATCAGTGATTATTCAATATTATTATTATAATAATCAATATAAGGATCATACAGTGCTGCAACTATACAATATTATTATATTTAGGAGAAAGTGCTAAACCCATAAATCATGTACTTGGATAGAGCCCCCCCTCACCATGTGATAATTCCAAAGGATGATTATTATAAAGACTTAGTGCTAAAACTAAAAGGATCATAAACTGCAGACCTGATTATTATTATAATCAAAAAAGAAGCGCTAAGCCACAAGGGCTATACAGCAACTGCAGACCTGAAAACCACGTAAGTGGAAAGGATAATACCCATTGGATTACAGGCAGGGCCCTGCTTATAAAACAGGTTAGGTTCTGGGCTACCACTGTAAAGTGAAACAGCCTTTTTTTAACTTTCAAATGCATACAAGAGGCTTTTGTCATGTACATCCAACTATTATATTCCTTTGTACAACTATGTATCATGTCAAAATAAAATTATTTTCTTTTTAACAAGTCGGCCGTCTCCCACTGAGGCAAGGTGACCCAAAAAGAACGAAAATCCCCAAAAGGAAAATACATACTTTCATCATCTTCAACACTTTCACCTCACTCATACATAATCACTGTTTTTGCAGTGGTGCCCAGAACACAACAGTTCAGAAGCATATACGTATGAAGATATACAATATATCCCTCCAAACTGCCAATATCTCAAACTCCTCCTTTAAAGTGCAGGCATTGTACTTCCCATTTCCAGTACTCAAGTCCGGCTATATAAAAATAACCGGTTTCCCTGAATCCCTTCACTAAATATTACCCTGCTCACACTCCAACAGCTCGTCAGGTCCCAAATACCATTATTATTATTATTATATATTAAGTGAGCAATAGAGCTAGCCCTAAAAAATGCATATCCAGTGCACATGCTACTTACCTTAAAATATTTTTGTGCTTAGCTTACAGTGAGTGAATATATTATAGAAAGTTTGAATAAATGAATGGGTATAACTGAAAACAGTTGCATTAGTGAAATGCTGTAAAGCTGGGCCTTCCTGTATTATTATTACAATCATAACCAAGAAATAAGCCCATAAGGGTCACACAGCAATAGCCATTGCAATCTCAGCAATTTTGCAAACATTAGGTTTGACGTTTTTTTGATCAAGATTAATAAAAAGTTCCCAAGCATGTCTACTTTGAGAAAATAAGCAATTTTTTTTTTCAACACGCCAGCCGTCTCTCACTGAAGCAGGGCAACCCAAAAAAGAAAATCTTTCACCATTATTCACACAATCACTGCCTTTGCAGAGGCACCTAGGTAAAACAGTTTAGGTGTCACTCCAAACAGCCAATACCCTAAACCTCTCCTTTAAAATGCATGCATTGTACTTGTACTTCCACCTTCAGAGATCAAGTCCTGGCAAAACGGTTCCCCGAATCCCTTACAAAAATTACCCTGCTCACACTCAACAGCTTGTCAGTTCCAAAAACTGTCATCTTCTCATGTCCAACCCTTCAACACAACATGCCTACTGCATATCCAAAGCCTCTGCATAGCAAAACCTTTTAGCCCCCTCCTCCAAATAAATGCTACCTGGGGAACATGGGAGCATTTAGGTTAAATTTATTATTCAAGGAGCGCTAATCCCATAGGGGTCATTAGCAAATAAACGAATGGATTGCATCCAGACTTTATAAGAATTAAGAAATGGGGAACACTGCAGGAGCCTGTTGCCCATATTTAGGCAGGTCTTTACAATTCATCCCACTAACAAAACATTTGTACACCAACAATTTTCATGCTACCCAAGAATATAGCTCTGATGTGCAAGTTCTTGCAAGCCACTGCTGCTTCTCTTACCCTTTTCGGGCTTGGGGACCACTGGCTTGGCCACCAGGCAAGCTTAACACACTGCCTGTTAAAGAACCCAACTAAGGAAAACGTCTTTCCGGGGTTATTCACACTTACCAATACCAGTCTTATAACCAAAACAATCGTTTTATACAAGATTAATAGTGGAATGATGAGGAGTTTGAGGTAGCTGAGTTCATGTTTCTAGTCCGCAGATCTTGAGAAAATACAGTATATACATGGAGAGAGTGTACTTTATATACTGCAGACAGTGAGATGATCCTGCAGTAGGAGGAGTCACCAGTGGAGACTTCTCACGGTTCATACTTGGTAGGTTAGACTGCGGCAATATAAACAAAATGCAGTTAATGATGAATCACTTTATTGACTACGATTTCGCCACTTACATGGGCTTTTTCAAGTCACAAACAGAACAAAGATCCATTTCCTTAGATCAAAATCATGAAAATCACCAACTGACTTTCTATAGGTAATTTGCTATCATTTTGGTGCTCATCCACTTCAGACAAATAAAGGTAAAAAAAAAATGCACCTTTTGTACATGCATTTATTTATTTCAGCCACAATGTATTATTTTTTACATCAAGAAGTGTTATGCTTGGAGTAAGTAATGACTTGTTCTGATACAGAACAGGTAATTTTATTAACATTTTCCTGAAAATTAATTAAGACATTTATGTTGTATAAATCTGTAGTGGAGGGAAGGCAGGGTAGGGGCCGGCCTAGGAAAGGTTGGAGGGAAGAGGTAAAGGAGGTCTTGTGTGCGAGGGGCTTGGACTTCCAGCAAGCATGTGTGAGCGTGTTTGATAGGAGTGAATGGACACAAATGGTTTTTAGGGCTTGACATGTTATTGAAGTGTGAGCAAGGTAACATTTATGAAGGGATTCAAGGAAACCTGCAGGCCGGACTGAAGTCCTGGAGATGGGAAGTACAGTGTCTGCACTCTGGAGGGGTGTTAATGTTGCAGTTTTATAACTGTAGTGCAAGTGTTCCTCTGGCAAGACAGTGATGGAGAGAATGATGATGAAAGTTTTTCTTTTTTTTTTGGGGGGGGGAAGCCACCTTGCCTTGGTGAGAGAAGGTCGATGTGTTAATAAAAAAAATATTTATGGCATACAAATTTATGGTATTTTTACAATATATATATTTGAAAACCAGAGGATCACTTTCAAATAAAACATTTAAGCACTATTATATCAATTTACAAATTACATGTAATGTCACAGGATGAGAAGAAAAAATGTCGAAATGTATCTTGACCTACCATGTGAAAATATATGGCTCCATGATAGGGAGCCTAAAGCTAGATTACAGTACTATTATTCAAACGAACATGATACACTTTATACATAAAGTTTTTGTAAGCCATTTTTACTCTGCAACAAATGATACACATGGACTAGTTTCAAACTCTTGCATAAATATGCAATATTGTACTGTCTGTGAACTGCATATACAAGTTAACCTGCATTACCCCAGGAAGTACAAATACTGCTAAATGTTATTAACTGGGTCAAGCATGGTGGACAACATATTTACCAAAATAGTTTCTTACAATCCTAAATCAAAGACATCATCTCTTACACTCATGACCTAGCAGAGCTAAAACTCATTGTAGTTGTTTGATTACTATATTACATCCTTTACGTAGATACCCTTAATTTTTATGCATTACAACTTTACTACAAAATTAACAACTCATTAATCAAACTGAAAACTCACTGATGTCATGGTATTTACAAATTTTATTAATCAACTGTACCAGTTTATTTCAATAGCAATCTGACCATTGTTAAATTTACTTTTTATGCAAAAAATAAAACTTGTCTAATCCTAGTTTTAATAAGTTAGCTATTGCATGTATATTCATAATCTGTTAATATACAGGGATCCCAATCCAGGTTAATGAAAGATCAGAACTCTAGCACAACAATGGTAATAAAGTAAAAGTTACTTCTCATTAATTACAATGATTGTATTAATGAAAGTGTCTTATTATATGGTAGATACTACTGGCAATCATCAAAGTACTGTACACTACGACAAAGGTTTGTAGCTCAGGGAAAATATTTAACCATGATATGAGAAAATATACCAGTGAAAAATACGAGCAGAAACATGAGGGTTTTTGTGCATTTACACACACCTTCTCATTAGACAATGTATGTAAAGGCATATAAGCACGCAAAGCATTTCTATTGCTATTTTTACAATGGCATTTTTCATTATATGGTTATTCATTTTATAGTGGCTTCTTCCCATATATGTATGTACGTGTAGGGGTGGGGTGGGTGCCTATGTATGAAAATGTATGCGTGTGTGTGTGCGCGTGCATGCGCAGGTGCATGATATTTATTTTGCATTACTGGCTGGTGTGCCTCATGAATTACAAATACAAACTAACTTACCTGTATTTATACTGTATTCTACAAGTATGAGTGGCTAACAACATGTTACATGCAGTTCAAAAAATTATTCCTATTCAAAATTATAGGCTAGCCAATCTCATTGAATATACTATACTGCATGGACTTGTTTAAGTGAAAGATGTCAAATTAAATAAGTAGTTATTGATAATAATCTACTATTCTTTTATAATGTACACAGAGGCTTTAATTTGTACATTTTAACACAATGTTTCATGCATTTCTGATTAATGCTGTGTGAAAAAACCCTTTAATATTTTATATATTTTGCAAAGTTAAAATGGGTACCAACTCAAAATACATAATATTGTGATAAACTAAAGTAAAATATAAAATTTATGACTGAAATCTGGATTATAAACAAAAATATAGCATGAGTATGGTTATAAAATGATGACAGAGACTAAAACAAATGGGCTATAGTGCATTCCCTTTGTATAAGATTTATTCTTCATCAGAATCTAATGCATGATCTTCCTCTTCTATCTCTGGCATGGGAAACCGAAGAATAGCTGCTACACCGGTCATCTGGTCCAATTCTAAAAATAAAAATAAAATAAAAATGAATTATTAGAAATATTCTCATCCATTCATAAGCTATATTTTTTTTCTCAACACGCTGGCCATCTCCCACTGAAGCAGGGTGACCTCCCCCCCCCCCCAAAAAAAAAAGTTCATCATTCACACAATCACTATCTTTGCAGAGGTGCCCAGATATGACAGATGTCTATTCAGCCAATATATCAAACCCCTCCTTTAAAGTGCAGGCATTGTGCTTCCCACCTTCAGGACTCAAGTCCAGCTAACCGGTTTCCCTGCATCCCTCCACAAAATATTACCCTGCTCACACTCCTATAGCTTGTCAGGTCCCAAAAATCATTCATCTCCATTCACTCCAATCTAACATGCTCATACATGACTGCTGCATGTCCAGGCCCCTTGCACACAAAACCTCTTTCACCCCTACCTTTCCTCCCTTCCACTACAGATTTATACACCCTCCAAGTCATTCTATTTTGCTCCATCCTCTCTAAATGACCAAACCAGTTCAATAACTCCTCTTCAGCCCTCTGAATAATACTTTTCATAACTCCACACCTCCTCATTTCCACACAATGAATTCTCTGCATAATATTTGCATTACACATTGCCCTGAGACATCGACAACTCCATTGCCTTCAGCCTCCTCGCTGCAACATTCATAACCCATGCTTCACACCCATATAAGTGTTGGTACCACTATACTCTCATGCATTCCTTTCTTTGCCTCTGTAGAAAATGTTTTCTGTCTTCACGGATACCTCAACGCACCACTCACCTTTTTTCCTTCATCAATTCTATAGTTAATCTCGTCCTTCAAAAACCCATCTGCTGACAAATCTACTCCCAAATTTCTAAACATTCACTTTTTCCATAGTCCCTCCCTCCCATGTGATACTCAATTTTTCCTGACCTAACTCATTTGATACACTCATCACCTTACTCTTACCTATGTTCACTTTCAACTTTCTTTACACACCCTCCCAAACTTGTCCACTAACCTTTGTAACTTCTCTTTAAAATCCCTCAAAAGCACAGTATCAAGCTAAGTACTGTAACAAAAATGAACTGCAGAAATAATAATGACAATCCATTAACTCACTCTCACTCCTAAGATCATGATTTGATGTATGCGTCCAATAAGGTGCAATAGTCAAGAGCTTGCTGGCCTGCTAAAAATTCAGGTGTGAGAAGTTGTTGACTATGGTTTATTTGGTCTCATCATCAACACAATTATTAAAGAGGGTGAAGGGCACTAAGTCCTTGAAATACAGTAGACCCTCGGTTATCGGCCGTAATCTGTTCCAGAAGGTCAGCCTAAAACCGAAATAATATAGTGGATGAGTTTGGGAGTGTGTGTAAAGGTAGAACGTTGAAAGTGAACATAGAAAAGAGTAAGATGAGGGTATTAAATGATTTAGATAAAGAAAAATTGGATATCAAATTGGGGAGGAGGAGTATGGAAGAAGTGAATGTTTTCAGATAGTACTTGGGAGTTGACGTGTCGACGGATGGATCTATGAAGGACGAGGTTAATCATAGAATTGACGAGGGAAAAAAGGCGAGTGGTGCGTTGAGTGGAGACAAAAAACGTTATCTATGGAGGCAAAGAAGGGAATGTATGAAAGTATAGTAGTACCAACACTCTTATATGGGTGTGAAGCTTGGGTTGTGAATGCAGCAGCGAAGAGGCGGTTGGAAGCAGTGAAGATGTCCTGTCTAAGGGGAATATGTGGTGTAAATATTATGCAGAAAATTCGGAGTGTGGAAATTAGGTGTGGAGTTAATAAAAGTATTAATCAGAGGGTTAAAGAGGGGTTGTTGAAGTGGTTTGGTCATTTAGAGAGAATGGATCAAAGTAGAATGACATGGAGAGCGTATAAATCTGTAGGGGAAGGAAGGCAGGGTAAGGGTCGTCCTCGAAAAGGTTGGAAGGAAGGGGTAAGGGAGGTTTTGTGGGTGAGGGGCTTGGACTTCCAGCAGGCGTGCATGAACGCGGTCGATGGGAGGGAATGGAGACTAATGGTATTTGGGACCTGACGATCTGTTGGAGTGTGAGCAGGGTAATATTTAGTGAAGGGATTCAGGGAAACCGGTTATTTTTATATAGCCGGACTTGAGTCCTGGAAATGGGAAGTACAATGCCTGCACTCTAAAGGAGGGGTTCAGGATATTAGCAGTTTGGAGGGATATGTTGTGTATCTTTGTACGTACAGTGGACCCTCGACTAACGCTATTAATCCGTTCCTGAGAGCTCATCGTTAGTCAAGTTAATTTTCCCCATAAGAAATAATGGAAATCAAATTAATCCATGCAAGACACCCAAAAGTATTGAAAAAAAAAAATTTTAACACATGAAATATTAATTTTAATACACGCAAACTGAAGAAGACATGCACAGTTACATGACACTTACCTTTATTGAAGATCTGGTGATGATTGACGGGATGGGAAGGGGGAGTGTGTTGATGGTTTTTAGTGTTTAGAAGGGGGGAACCCCTTCCATTTGGATTGAGGTGGGAAAGTCCTTTTTCGGGGTTACTTCCCTTCTTTTAATGCCACTAGGACCAGCTTGAGAGTCACTGGACCTCTGTCGCACAACATATCTGCCCATAGAGGCTGTACCTCCCGTTCCTTTATGACATTTCTAACGTGTTTCACAACATTGTCAGTGTCACCATTAAACACTTGTTCAGTTTCAGTCCTTCACTGTTATGTACTCCTTGAATTCCTGCACATTATTTTTCAGCTGCTTTTTGGTCCAAACTGGCAGCCTCACCATGTCTTATCACACTATGTATGCCACTACGATTCTTAAATTCTCAACCAACCTTTGCTGGCCCTTAAATTCACTCACATCACCACTAGTTGCTGGCATTTTTTTTAATTAAATGTCATGCAACTTCTTTGCCTTTTCACATATGATCGCTTGGGGAGATGTATCTGTTTTTCGTTTTTTCCATTTCCAATAACAGGTCTCTCAACATTTCTATCACTTGCGATCTCGTTTTGAAAACATGTTGCACCTTTGGCAAGAAACAGCTTCCTTGATTGCCGTTTTCTTGGCCACATTGTAGCGAGGTTGATTGGGGTTTTGTGTACAGCCTGGCCAGCTCGGAGACATGCACTCCACTTTCATACTTAGCAATGATCTCTTTCTTAATCCATAGTAATTCTCACCCTTTTTGCTGTAGGGTTGGCACTAGAAGCTTTCTTGGGGCCCATGGTGACTTATTTTGCAGGTGCAATCACTAAAAAGGCTGTGATAATATGAAATGTTCCGATTGTATGCTTGGAAGCGACCACGGTGGCTGGCTGGCTTGTAAACACTGGCCAGAAGTGGATGCGTCTCAGACGGAAGGAATAGTGTTGGTCGAGTTTTTTACCGCTAATCGAGGCAAAATTTTTGCGATAAAATGTATCGCTAGTCAGATTTATCGTTAATCGATGCCATCGCTGGTCGAGGGTCCACTGCATATGTTTCTAAACTGTTGTGTTCTGAGCACCTCTGCTCAGTGAGGTAAAAGTGTTGAATGATGATGAAAGTATTTTCTTTTTGGGAATTTTCTTTCTTTTTGGGCCACCCTGCCTCGGTGGGAGACAGCCAACTTGTATATAAAAAAAAAAAAAAAAAAAATCTGTCTCCGACACCCAAAAATATTAACAAAAAATACATTTTTTAAAGATTAATTATAGTTTTATATACACAAAACAATGAGAACTAAATAAAATATATAAATTAACACTTAAATCACTATTACATACTCTTGTTGGCTTATGGAAGACAGGGAGGAGGAGAGAGGAATGACCGATTATTGTTGGGAAGGGGAATCCCCCTCCATAAGGACTTCAGGGGTTACTTCCCACCCTCTATGCTACACTCCCTGCCAGCCTGCCTGCTACACTCCCTGCCAGCCTGCCTGCTACACTCCCTGCCAGCCTGCCTGCTACACTTCCTGCCAGCCTGCCTGCTACACTCTCTGCCAGCTAGCCTGCTACACTCCCTGCCAGCCTGCCTGCTACACTCCCTGCCAGCCTGCCTGCTACACTCCCTGCCAGCCTGCCTGCTACACTCCCTGCCAGCCTGCCTGCTACACTCCCTGCCAGCCTGCCTGCTACACTCCCTGCCAGCCTGCCTGCTACACTCCCTGCCAGCCTGCCTGCTACACTCCCTGCCAGCCTGCCTGCTACACTCCCTGCCAGCCTGCCTGCTACACTCCCTGCCTGCCTGCTAAACTCCCTTTTGCAACATTAGCCTCCTTGATTTCTACTTTCTTTGCCAGGATGGAAGTGATTATTGATTTGGATTTTCCATACATCCTGGCAAGTTCTAGCACTCGAACACCACTCTCATACTTTTCAACAACTTCTTTCTTAAATTCCAGTGTGTTTCTCACTTTCTTTACTAAAGGAACTTTCCTTGGGCCCACAGTTGCTTATTTTGCAGTTGCACTCAATCAATTAAAAAAAAAAATCGGAAGGAAAAAAAGGATGGGGGGGGGGGGCGATAACTGAGTTGGCCAATATCCTGAATGGCCAGTAACTGAGGGTCCACTGTACCATAAATGCCAGCAAAATGCATTAATGGCTACCTCTCTGATTTTGTGCTCAATGTATTCATGGCACAAGACTCCTTTGGGAGGGAAGCCTTGTACCAGTAGCAAGTATAGATGGAGACAGGCAGATTGCCACTACGTACACATCTAGAATGTATTAAGCATCTGGAGAGGTGAAGAGAAACAAATACTTCCAATTCCAGACCCGAATTCAACAGTCCAGCTATAGATTAATTTTATAAAAAAATAATTTAATTTTATAAGGGTTTGGCTCTAAAATTAGACACCTATCCATTTTGAAATATTCAGTTCAAGATGTCAAATTCTTCAGATGAACAGGGTTTGGGATAGCAGGATTGAACTGTATGGAAAAAGTTGAAAATTTACTCACGTTCACCAGAAACATGAAGGCTGGAAAATATCTTGACATCACCACCATTACCTTTCACACTATCAACCAGCCTCACATATCTTTGCCTCTCATCCAAATCTTTGGATCTGAAAAATAAAAAATTAAGACAAATAAAAAAACATTTTCATGAAATAAGAACACTACAGAACTGTCTCCTTGTTTAACATTGCTATTTAACACATTAAATTAAATCTACCTAAGTTCTTACCTTCATTTTTCCTGTGCTAGAAGAAACCTGAAAGACCATGTATATATGTACAAGCATTTAGCCATAAGGGTTCAATCTAATTTGTGGATTTAAAATCCTGGAATCACAACCCTAAGTGGGGTCACTATTTTTTTTTAGACCACCTTAAGAAAAACAGCAATGCCACAAAATATAGACACCAGAAACATCTGCAGTCACAGACAATGGGTAACTTTAAATTTTTTTTACAAAATTAACAATACATCAGTGAACTAAATAATGCAATGAGGATAGAGCAATTCACAACTTTGTTTCAAATACAAGTAAGAGCCAATTTTTGACATGTGAATGAAGCCAATCTTTTTAAGATATAAAAAATTTTGCTCTGGGGTTCAAAAATTATGTAAATACAAAATCTTCGCTTTACAGAATGTTGTAAAGAGAGAGCCATGGCAACCACTGTAAAAAAGGCAAAAGTATATGGCAGAGTATTTAATTTTTATCTACATTTTACCATTAGACAATGAATAAGTTGCATGTGGTTTGTAGTGAATTGCTCTCAGAAGAATCAATACAGCCAAGGACAGGTTCCCAACTTTGAAAAGATGGTCATGCTTCATACATGCTTGAACTGTCTGTAAACTGGAGAAACATCTGCAAAAAAATCCATCTAAGGTTCACGATCAAAGGCCAATAGATTTTAAAAAATTTATGGGGTGAATATCTAAAAATCACGTTTACAGTGAGAGAACTTGCAAAAGTCAAAAAGGAAATCTTTACTGAAGGCATCTTCCACTGTATACTCACCTATTTGTGACTTCAGGGGTCAATTCTAAGATCCTGGCCCTGCCTCTAACTTTCCATTCTGCAGATTTACTACTTCTTAGCCTTGTGGACCCTATCGTACTTGCTCTTAAAACTGTGTAAGCAGCTTGCTTCTGCCACTTCCTCACTAACATCATTCCTCTTCCCACCCATTTTGAGACTGAATCACTTCACAGCATCCCTTTGATATACATCTGAAGAGTTTTGAGAGTTTAACTACTCTTGGAGCCCGACCATGGGCCAGGCCCGTATCCTTGTGGCTCATTTGCATCTTCAACTTCCAACAGTGTCCCAAAGTTCCCCTTTCTCGCTTCTCAAACAGCCTATCCCTGTCTACCTTATCAATTCCCCAAACATTTTGTATATTTTTATCATGCCCCTGTTGACTGTCCTCTAATGTTGTCAGGTCTGACTCCATTACCCTCTCCTCTTAGCTCTGAAACAAGCCCTGGTGCATACTTCTGCACTTTCTCTCCACTTTCTCATTATTATTTTTCAGGTGTAGGTTCTATATGGTTTATGATACTGTACCACTACCCAGCCTGTTGTAGTAGTACAGTATCATACATCTTGCAGTCTAAAAATATGCAATACACCCACCTCTCACTCTCTCTGGTACCCTCACACTTGCTTTCATGCAAGTGTAAGGGCATCAGGAGCTATGACTTGACCCCTGCAACCAGAGAGGAGAGTACACGTACGTATGCACACACACACTCGACTCCTGGAACCACAAATAGGCGTGCGCGCGCACACACACACATTACTTCATCAAAGTAAGACAAGCTATGCCATCCCTAAACCCATCCCGGTTATTGTTTATGAAACCACTTCTCTAGGTATTCTACCATTCTTCCCCTAATTAACTTCCATTATCTTGCAAGGTATGCATATCAGAGAAATTGGTCTGTAGTTTCTGGGTGGACAGAAACCTGTCACAAGCATCACAGCACAAATATGGATTCAATGACTAAAGTTTATCTATATCGATAATGGTATGAATAATCCAATTAAAATAATAGACATTCAATTAATATGCTTTATACCAGTCTGAAAATGAGGAATGCTTACTCAAAATGTTTACCAAAGACAAAATATTTATGTTCTTTAGACCACTTAGGCTACACACCTAAACAGACTGTCGGAGACCAGCAGGGTTTCAATAGCCAGGCTATCATTGGCTCTTTCAACATGTTTGATACCATAGTAAGCACGATCAGGGTCAGTTCCTAACATGGTCATAAATTGCTGAAGAGCCTTTGTTTCCCCAGCTGCTTTGGTGTCTGCCAACTTTGCAGTTACTGCTGGATCCTCAAGTACCTCTGAAAGGAAGACAATAAGTGTATATGACATTTTCTACCAAGCATACAACACTTCTTTCCAAACAATATAAGGTGTAACATGCACGTATACAGTGGACCCCCGGTTAACGATATTTTTTCACTCCAGAAGTATGTTCAGGTGCCAGTACTGACCGAATTTGTTCCCATAATAAATATTGTGAAGTAGATTAGTCCATTTCAGACCCCCAAACATACACGTACAAACGCACTTACATAAATACACTTGCATAATTTGTCACATTCGGAGGTAATCGTTATGCGGGGGTCCACTGTACTATGGAAATGTGAAATACTGATTACGTGATTAAAACACAACTTGTGATAAAGAATAAATTTCCATATAGTGAAGCAATAAATACCTCGAGTGCTATACAAAAAATTCTGAATTATGAAAATACTGAATTGCTTAAGATTAAGCTGGCTTTTTTTTTTTTTTTTTTTTTAACAAGTTGGCCATTTCCCACTGAGGCAGGGTGACCCAAAAAGAAAGAAAATCCCCAAAAAGGAAATACAGTGGACCCCCACCTTACGATCAGCTCCCAACTCGACCAATTATGTAAGTGTATTTTTGTAAGTGCTTTTGTACGTGTATTTTTGGGGGTCTGAAATGGACTAATCTAATTCACAAATATTCCTTATGGGAACAAATTCGGTCTATAACGGCACCCGAACAGACTTTTGGAATGAAATAATATCGTAAGGCGGGGGTCCACTGTACTTTCATTATTCAACACTCTCACCTCACTCATACATGATCAGTCTTTGCAGAGGTGCCCAGATACAACAGTTTAGAAGCATATTTTTTTTTTTTTATTTTTTTATTATCACACCGGCCGATTCCCACCAAGGCAGGGTGGCCCGAAAAAGAAAAACTTTCACCATCATTCACTCCATCACTGTCTTGCCAGAAGGGTGCTTTACACTACAGTTTTTAAACTGCAACATTAACACCCCTCCTTCAGAGTGCAGGCACTGTACTTCCCATCTCCAGGACTCAAGTCCGGCCTGCCCGGGTTTCCCTGAATCCCTTCATAAATGTTACTTTGCTCACACTCCAAACAGCACGTCAAGTATTAAAAACCATTTGTCTCCATTCACTCCTATCAAACACGCTCACGCATGCCCGCTGGAAGTCCAAGCCCTTTGCCAACAAAACCTCCTTTACCCCCTCCCTCCAACCCTTCTAGGCCGACCCCTACCCGCCTTCCTTCCACTACAGACTGATAACAAATCTTGAAGTCATTCTGTTTCGCTCCATTCTCTCTACATGTCCGAACCACCTCAACAACCTTCCTCACCCTCTGGACAACAGTTTTGGTAATCCCGCACCTCCTCCTAACTTCCAACTACGAATTCTCTGCATTATATTCACACCACACATTGCCCTCAGACATGACATCTCCACTGCCTCCAGCCTTCTCCTCGCTGCAACATTCATCACCCACGCTTCACACCCATATAAGAGCGTTGGTAAAACTATACTCTCATACATTCCCCTCTTTGCCTCCAAGGACAAAGTTCTTTGTCTCCACAGACTCCTAAGTGCACCACTCACTCTTTTTCCCTCATCAATTCTATGATTCACCTCATCTTTCATAGACCCATCCGCTGACACGTCCACTCCCAAATATCTGAATACGTTCACCTCCTCCATACTCTCTCCCTCCAATCTGATATTCAATCTTTCATCACCTAATCTTTTTGTTATCCTCATAACCTTACTCTTTCCTGTATTCACCTTTAATTTTCTTCTTTTGCACACCCTACCAAATTCATCCACCAATCTCTGCAACTTCTCTTCAGAATCTCCCAAGAGCACAGTGTCATCGGCAAAGAGCAGCTGTGACAACTCCCACTTTGTGTGTGATTCTTTATCTTTTAACTCCACGCCTCTTGCCAAGACCCTCGCATTTACTTCTCTTACAACCCCATCTATAAATATATTAAACAACCACGGTGACATCACACATCCTTGTCTAAGGCCTACTTTTACTGGGAAAAAATTTCCCTCTTTCCTACATACTCTAACTTGAGCCTCACTATCCTCGTAAAAACTCTTCACTGCTTTCAGTAACCTACCTCCTACACCATACACTTGCAACATCTGCCACATTGCCCCCCTATCCACCCTGTCATACGCCTTTTCCAAATCCATAAATGCCACAAAGACCTCTTTAGCCTTATCTAAATACTGTTCACTTATATGTTTCACTGTAAACACCTGGTCCACACACCCCCTACCTTTCCTAAAGCCTCCTTGTTCATCTGCTATCCTATTCTCCGTCTTACTCTTAATTCTTTCAATTATAACTCTACCATACACTTTACCAGGTACACTCAACAGACTTATCCCCCTATAATTTTTGCACTCTCTTTTATCCCCTTTGCCTTTATACAAAGGAACTATGCATGCTCTCTGCCAATCCCTAGGTACCTTACCCTCTTCCATACATTTATTAAATAATTGCACCAACCACTCCAAAACTATATCCCCACCTGCTTTTAACATTTCTATCTTTATCCCATCAATCCCGGCTGCCTTACCCCCTTTCATTTTACCTACTGCCTCACGAACTTCCCCCACACTCACAACTGGCTCTTCCTCACTCCTACAAGATGTTATTCCTCCTTGCCCTATACACGAAATCACAGCTTCCCTATCTTCATCAACATTTAACAATTCCTCAAAATATTCCTTCCATCTTCCCAATACCTCTACCTCTCCATTTAATAACTCTCCTCTCCTATTTTTAACTGACAAATCCATTTGTTCTCTAGGCTTTCTTAACTTGTTAATCTCACTCCAAAACTTTTTCTTATTTTCAACAAAATTTGTTGATAACATCTCACCCACTCTCTCATTTGCTCTCTTTTTACATTGCCTTCACCACTCTCTTAACTTCTCTCTTTTTCTCCATATACTCTTCCCTCCTTGCATCACTTCTACTTTGTAAAAACTTCTCATATGCTAACTTTTTCTCCCTTACTACTCTCTTTACATCATCATTCCACCAATCGCTCCTCTTCCCTCCTGCACCCACTTTCCTGTAACCACAAACTTCTGCTGAACACTCTAACACTACATTTTTAAACCTACCCCATACCTCTTCGACCCCATTGCCTATGCTCTCATTAGCCCATCTATCCTCCAATAGCTGTTTATATCTTACCCTAACTGCCTCCTCTTTTAGTTTATAAACCTTCACCTCTCTCTTCCTGATGCTTCTATTCTCCTTGTATCCCATCTACCTTTTACTCTCAGTGTAGCTACAACTAGAAAGTGATCTGATATATCGGGTGGCCCCTCTATAAACATGTACATCCTGAAGTCTACTCAACAGTCTTTATCTACCAATACATAATCCAACAAACTACTGTCATTTCGCCCTACATCATATCGTGTATACTTATTTATCCTCTTTTTCTTAAAATATGTATTACCTATAACTAAACCCCTTTCTATACAAAGTTCAATCAAAGGGCTCCCATTATCATTTACACCTGGCACCCCAAACTTACCTACCACACCCTCTCTAAAAGTTTCTCCTACTTTAGCATTCAAGTCCCCTACCACAATTACTCTCTCACTTGGTTCAAAGGCTCCTATACATTCACTTAACATCTCCCAAAATCTCTCTCTCTCCTCTGCATTCCTCTCTTCTCCAGGTGCATACACGCTTAAATTATGACCCACTTCTCGCATCCAACCTTTACTTTAATCCACATAATTCTTGAATTTACACATTCATATTCTCTTTTCTCCTTCCATAACTGATCATTTAACATTACTGCTACCCCTTCCTTTGCTCTAACTCTCTCAGATACTCCAGATTTAATCCCATTTATTTCCCCCCACTGAAACTCTCCTACCCCTTCAGCTTTGTTTCGCTTAGGGCCAGGACATCCAACTTCTTTTCATTCATAACATCAGCAATCATCTGTTTCTTGTCATCCGCACTACATCCACGCACATTTAAGCAACCCAGTTTTATAAAGTTTTTCTTCTTCTCTTTTTTAGTAATTGTATACAGGAGAAGGGGTTACTAGCCCATTGCTCCCGGCATTTTAGTCGCCTCATACGACACGCATGGCTTACGGAGGAAAGATTCTTTTCCACTTCCCCATGGACAATAGAAGAAATAAAAAAGAACAAGAGCTATTTAGAAAAAGGAGAAAAACCTAGATGTATGTATATATATATATGCATATGCGTGTCTGTGAAGTGTGACCAAAGTGTAAGTAGGAGTAGCAAGATATCCCTGTTATCTTAGCGTGTTTATGAGACAGAAAAAGAAACCAGCAATCCTACCATCATGCAAAACAGTTACAGGTTTTTGTTTCACAGTCATCTGGCAGGACGGTAGTACTTCCCTGGGTGGTTGCTGTCTACCAACCTACTACTATGCTTTAGAAGCATATGTAAAGATATATAACATATCCCTCCAAACTGCCAATATCCCAAACCCCTCCTATAACGTGCAGGCATTGTACTTCCTATTTCCAGTACTCAAGTCCGGCTATATAAAAATCACCGGTTTCCCTGAATTCTTTCACTAAATATTACCCTGCCCATACTCCAAGCACACAAAAGTTAAGACTGCACATATAATATGTACACAACCAATCTAAGAATGTTTTAATACCTAAAATTAAAATTAAAGCTGCTTTATCAGGTGGAGTTTATACTTGAATTTTTCTCACATCCTCTTCTACACCCTTCTTACACTACCAAGTCTCTCTCCCTCCTTTGTACTAAACAAGGATAGACTGACAAACCAAAAGATCCAACTCTACTTCACAGTACAGGAACTAAAAGAATTATTATAATCATGTGGAAGTGCTACATCTGTAAAGGTCACACAGCACCTGCAAGGCAATCAGGTTTGATCTGGGAAAGGGAAAAGCAACACTAATTCTTTGAATCAAACCTCTCCTTGAAGGGTCTACAGGTAAAATTATGAAGTTGAAGGGATTAAGGGAGACAAATAGATTAGTAAATGAAGAGGAAGTAGAGTTGATTAGCAGGAGCTAATTATCCAACAACATTAAAAGGTTTCTCTTAAAATTATCTTACCCCTGAGAGAGTGTCTGAAGCCACTAGATGAATGCACAAGGACAAATTTACTCTTGTTTTCCAACAAGAGCTTAATATCTGTCTGCACAGCATTCTGAAATTTCAATAAAATCAAATTTAATTCTGTACATACAGTACTGTAATCTAGTGTGAAATTCAGGTGACTAAAATTATGAAAACAAGGCAAATAAAGAAACAGACTATATATATTTTTCAACAAAAAATAATTCAAATATACATTCTAGGATTGCTATGAAAATAATTAAAGTACTGTACTTTTAAACATAATTAACAGTGATTTTTTTGTGCAGAACTGACATTTTAAAATTAATTTTTCCTTTTTTTTTATACATTACTTTCCAAAGATTTGTAATAACCATAAATATAATGCACTGTCATTATCACAGTACATAGACCAAAAGTTACCAAAACCACATGTAATTAGTTATAAAATGTGTGGCATACCTTAAGTTGTGCACAGACCACACATTAAAACTGTTACACCCAGGCACTGCAATCTACTGGTGTTCCTTACTTTAACAAGATATTCCGAGTTATCTAGTATAAATATACATCATAAACCCCACTAACATACTAACCTGCATTCAGTAAATTTGTGTGTACAGTATTTATTCCAGGTGCATGTTAAGAAATTAAATTGTACAACTATGCAAAATCAGAATAGGTGGGGCTCAAACTCCACCTGTTCTGCAACTCATTTGCAATCGTGTTATGATTTCTTGAGGCATTCAAAATTATATTAACTTTTAGTAATACAGTGAACCCCCGACATTCAATGGCATCGACATTCGATAAATCCGACATTCGATGCATTTTAACGCAAAAATTTCGCCTCGACATTCGATCGAAAACCCGCTAATCGATACGATTCGTACGAGACGTGTCCACGTGTGGCCTGAACTGCCCCATGTGTGCCAGTGTTTACAAGCCAGCCAGTGTGCACACATCTAAGGATACATTCGGTACATTCCATATTATCCATATTATCACTGTTTTCGGTGCTTGTTTCTGCAAAATAAGTAACCATGGGCCCCAAGAAACCTAGTGCCAACCCTTCGAGAAAAAAGGTGCTAATGACTATTGAAATGAAGAAAGAGATAATTGCAAAGTACAAAGGTGGAGTGCGTGTGTCGGAGCTGGCCAGGTTGTATAGTAAACCCCAATCAACCATCTTTACTATAGTGAGCAGGAAAACAGCAATCAAGGAAGCTGTTGTTGCAAAAGGTGCAACTTTGCATTCGAAACAGAGATCGCTAGTGTTAGAAGATGTTGAGAGACTGTTAATGGTGTGGATAAATGAAAAACAGATAGCAGGAGATAGCACCTCTCAAGCGATCATTTGTGAAAAGGCTAGGCAGTTGCATGAGGATTTGGTAAAGAAATTGCCTGCAACTAGTGGTGATGTGAGTGAATTTAAGGCCAGCAAATGTTGGTTTGAAAGATTTAAGAATTGTAGTGGCATACAGTGTGGTAAGGCATGGTGAGGCTGCCAGTTCGGACCACAAAGTGGCTGAAAAATATGTGCATGAATTCAAAGAGTACATAGAGGCTGAAGGATTGAAACCTGAACAAGTGTTTAATTGTGACGAAACAGGCCTGTTTTGGAAGAAATTGCCAAGCAGGACCTACATTACTAACACCATCCACACTCTCCCCTCCTCAAATCCCATCAATCATCACCAGATCTTCATTAAAGGTAAGTGTCAATTATTCTATTGTTATTGTTGTTATTGTAATTATTCTATTGCATTAAACTTAATATTTCATGTGGTAAATTTTTTTTTTCATACTTTTGGGTGTCTTGCATGGATTAATTTGATTTCCATTATTTCTTATGGGGAAAATTAATTCAACTTTTGATATTTTCGACATTCGATGAGCTCTCAGGAACGGATTAATATCGAATGTCGGGGGTCCACTGTAGTTCCACGAATACAAAAATTGGCTAAATTTCTAATTGAACAGTGTTACACAAAACAAAGCATTCTCAATCAAAATATTTTTCAACACAGCATTATATTTTATGAACTATAAATTATGTTTATTCAAAGGGCTAGTAACCCCTTCTCCTGTATACATTACTAAATTTAAAAAGAGAAACATTTCTTTTTAGGTCATCCTGCCTCAGTGGGATATGGCCGATTTGTCAAAAAAAAAAAAACACGTTTATTATAATGATACAAATTTAATAAATTGAAAGAGCATAAAAAAAAGGGCAGCTCGCAGATGACAGAACATATTTTACCACTACCAATACTAAACACCAGCTACTTTCCAACTTCAATAATGTCACTCCTAACAAGCATAATAATCCCTCAGTAATCTGTTTCAGCCACTCAAGTCCAGCACTTGACATGCTGTTGGAGTGTGAGCAAGGTAACACTTATTATGACGGGATTTAGGGAAACTGGCAGGATGGACTGGAGTCTTGAAGATAGAAAGTACAGTACCTGCACTCTGAAGGGTGTTAATGTTGCAGTTTTGTAACTACAGTGTGAGCACACCTCTGGCAAGACAGTGATGGTGTGAATGATGAAAGATATTTTTTTTTTTTTTTTTGGAAAGGAGGGGACGGGTGCACCCTACCTTGGTGGGAAATGGTCAATGTGTTAATAAATAAAAAAAAAAAGTCCAGAGGCTAGCTGGAGAATTTTAAGTGTCTATTAAGCACTTTCTTTACCATAAATCAGCAGAAATTATCTACGTGATGTAAACGTAAATACTACATATCTATGCAATATTTGCACATTTCATTTCTAATACTTACCCTCATCATGTACTCGAAGAACTGATCCTTGACGAAGCCTGGAGAAGCTATTAACACTGCTTTAACAACCTCAAAGTTTAGATGACGAATGATGGCTGCCATCACCTGATCGAAGAACTTGGCAACTGCCTGAGGGATACACAACATAATAATCAACTGTTATAACTACTGAAAAGAGTAAAGGATTTATTGCAATTTAACCCTTTCAGGGTCCGTCCCGTAGATCTACGGCTTTACGTTCAGGGTCCAAACCGTAGATCTACGTCATGAGCTCAGCTCACTCTGATAAACTGTGAGTGGTACATTTGGGCCTAGATATGAGAGAATACATCTATGTGGTATGTGTGCACAACAAAAAACAGATCCTGCAGCACACTGTGTATAATGAGAGAAAAAACTGAAATCATGATTTTTCGACTAAAACAGTGACTTTGCAGTGTTTTTTCGTATGTTTTTTATAGTTGTATTTGCGATTTCTTGGTCTCATTTGATAGAATGGAAGACATGTTACAGAAATAGAGATGATTTTGATTGGTTTTAGCACTGAAAATGGCTTGAAACTGAGCTCAAAGTAGCAGATATGTTAAATTTTTGCCGATATTCAAGAGGCCTGGTCACAGACCGGGCCGCGGGGGCGTTGACCCCCGAAACTCTCTCCAGGTAAACTCTCCAGTAAACAAACGACCTCACACATCTAATACACGCCAGCTGGTGGGTCTAATATGCATTCACAAATATGGTGATGATATTTATACAATTATTACAGTATTGCATAACAGTAAATGTTCTATTTTTTGGTGTGAATAAAAATTCATTATGTGAATAAAAAATCAAGATGGAATTTATTTGTAAAGCCTCAAAACGTAACTAATGAACAGAGGAAATGTTAGTTTAGTTCCAGGAATACCTACATTGTTTATTCTGGACCCTATTTTGAAATTGGAATATTTTGAACTTTGTGTTAAATTGGCCAAATTAACAATTTCCGATCACTTTAATTTGTAGTTGAAACAGTTGACTTGGCGATTTCTTGTGCTCAATCGATAGAACAAAAGTAATACTAGTGAAATAGCTAAGAATTTGGTTGACTGGAATAACGTAATTGGCCTAAAATGGGAGTCAAAGTCAGCAAAATAGCCGATTCGTAAGTATCGCTGACACATCAAAATTCACGAGCATAATTTCGTCAATTTTCCATGAAATTTTGTACTTTTTGTTTTATTACCTTCACAAAAAGATTCTCTACGATTTCATAAGAAAAAATAACATTTTTTTTTTTTTTAAATTCTTGGACACTGGGGCACCACTTCAGATTTAGGCCTTGGACCCTGAAGGGGTTAAGAACATACTGTAGGTTAGGTTTAATAATCTGCAGATATGATGAGGGGAATAAGATATTGAATGAGATATGTTAAAAGATGCAAGTTTTTCAAAAAAAAAAAAAAAAAACTGAAAGAGCAAGTTTTTTTTTAAATTAAATTATGTTGATTTTTTGGGTAATTTTTAAATTATAAAATATAAATGCTCAAAGCTGAATGTGGTGCATGTATGGTATATGCCAACAGACATTATGAAATAAAATATCAGATGTAAAATAGCAAACAAATTAAAATACAATGTACTGAGAAAAATATGATTTAAAAACAGTAATGAATTGTCTCCATGTATGTACTGAAGTAAGAAAAATGACAGGGTATACTAATATATTTTATGAAAATTTTTTTTTTAACAAGTCGGTCGTCTCCCATCGAGGCAGGGTGACCCAAAAAGAAAGAAAATCCCCAAAAAGGAAATACTTTCATCATCATCATTCAACACTTTCACCTCACTCACACATAATCACTGTTTTTTTTACAAAAGTACATACTTTCCAGCAAATATTTACAAGCATGAAAACTTCTTATACAATTAAAGAATTCATATGATGGTTTATGCTGGCTGTTACAAAAAACGCGATTCTAAAAGCTTAGAGATCTCCAGTGAATACTAGAAAGGACTGCCCTTCTAGCATCCAGCCTGTTACTGGGTTTTCGTAACAAGTAGTCAGCATCCTTGTCCAATTATCCATTAAATTCAGTATGAATTATTAGTGCTTTAGGATTACAACTGGTAGGCTACTAACTAGAGAAATTAAAATTTAATAAATTTATTAAGTCTATAAGTTGTCTAGAAGTATATTATCAAAGTAAATTAAATCACAGCAATCAAAATAAAATCAATCTCTCGAGTTCAATATTATTGTGCTGAAAGCACATATCACGTTTATAATTCTTAAGTACCGTCAGGTACATTAACATTTAATAAGATATTACAAATATGTACAAGTGTGTGTATGCGTGTAAGTGCTCTTAAGTAGTTAGCTATGTCTCAAGACTCGAATAGGACTTAAACAAGTGACTGACAAAGTCCTCAAATAAACTAACTTCTTGACCGACTGGCAACCCGAACAGTCTGCTTGAACAACAACAGAATGCTAAGCCCAATAGCAATGCAATATCAAGCGACTGCGACACAGAATCAGGAACAAGGAGATAATATAACGACACTAAGTAGGGACCATCTGCAGATCCTCCACAAAAGTTACAAAACTCCCATAATACTGAATCTACGTTCAGCATAGGAAAACGCGACTGTGACAATACACAGAAACCAGTACAAAATTAGGTCAGAAGCTATAGCTAAGGACCTGAGATACTCAGAGTGTCTAAGCGACACACAACCTCAGTACAACGTCGAAAATCACAAAGTCTTTACAATGTTCTGTGAACAAAGTTCTACAGAACTAACAAGAATAATGAGACAGACAATCTGTCCAACCACCAAGAGAGTCTAGAGCAGACTGAATACTTCACGAGAGGTGAGGACACCCCCCCTCGATCACGTGATAGCTACGTGGACAACTGCAGCTCAGAAGCCGGCAGTATAACGAGCGACAAGAGATAATTACAGTAGTTTGACAATCAAGACTAACTGAGCACATATTATGTACATCCTAACAACATAAGTCAAATAAGAATATAAAGCAATATATTTACGATTTAGCTATTATCGCAAATATAAGCAATATAAAATTAAATGAAAAGGTAATATACATTATATATAGTAGTAGGTTGGTAGACAGCAACCACCCAGGGAAGTACTACCGTCCTGCCAGATGACTGTGAAACAAAAACCTGTAATTGTTTTGCATGATGGTAGGATTGCTGGTTTCTTTTTCTGTCTCATAAACACGCTAAGATAACAGGGATATCTTGCTACTCCTACTAACACTTTGGTCACACTTCACAGACACGCACATGCATATATATATATACATACATCTAGGTTTTTCTCCTTTTTCTAAATAGCTCTTGTTCTTTTTTATTTCTTCTATTGTCCATGGGGAAGTGGAAAAGAATCTTTCCTCCGTAAGCCATGCGTGTCGTATGAGGCGACTAAAATGCCGGGAGCAATGGGCTAGTAACCCCTTCTCCTGTATACAATTACTAAAAAAGAGAAGAAGAAAAACTTTATAAAACTGGTTGCTTAAATGTGCGTGGATGTAGTGCGGATGACAAGAAACAGATGATTGCTGATGTTATGAATGAAAAGAAGTTGGATGTCCTGGCCCTAAGCGAAACAAAGCTGAAGGGGGTAGGAGAGTTTCAGTGGGGGGAAATAAATGGGATTAAATCTGGAGTATCTGAGAGAGTTAGAGCAAAGGAAGGGGTAGCAGTAATGTTAAATGATCAGTTATGGAAGGAGAAAAGAGAATATGAATGTGTAAATTCAAGAATTATGTGGATTAAAGTAAAGGTTGGATGCGAGAAGTGGGTCATAATAAGCGTGTATGCACCTGGAGAAGAGAGGAATGCAGAGGAGAGAGAGAGATTTTGGGAGATGTTAAGTGAATGTATAGGAGCCTTTGAACCAAGTGAGAGAGTAATTGTGGTAGGGGACTTGAATGCTAAAGTAGGAGAAACTTTTAGAGAGGGTGTGGTAGGTAAGTTTGGGGTGCCAGGTGTAAATGATAATGGGAGCCCTTTGATTGAACTTTGTATAGAAAGGGGTTTAGTTATAGGTAATACATATTTTAAGAAAAAGAGGATAAATAAGTATACACGATATGATGTAGGGCGAAATGACAGTAGTTTGTTGGATTATGTATTGGTAGATAAAAGACTGTTGAGTAGACTTCAGGATGTACATGTTTATAGAGGGGCCACAGATATATCAGATCACTTTCTAGTTGTAGCTACACTGAGAGTAAAAGGTAGATGGGATACAAGGAGAATAGAAGCATCAGGGAAGAGAGAGGTGAAGGTTTATAAACTAAAAGAGGAGGCAGTTAGGGTAAAATATAAACAGCTATTGGAGGATAGATGGGCTAATGAGAGCATAGGCAATGGGGTCGAAGAGGTATGGGGTAGGTTTAAAAATGTAGTGTTAGAGTGTTCAGCAGAAGTTTGTGGTTACAGGAAAGTGGGTGCAGGAGGGAAGAGGAGCGATTGGTGGAATGATGATGTAAAGAGAGTAGTAAGGGAGAAAAAGTTAGCATATGAGAAGTTTTTACAAAGTAGAAGTGATGCAAGGAGGGAAGAGTATATGGAGAAAAAGAGAGAGGTTAAGAGAGTGGTGAAGCAATGTAAAAAGAGAGCAAATGAGAGAGTGGGTGAGATGTTATCAACAAATTTTGTTGAAAATAAGAAAAAGTTTTGGAGTGAGATTAACAAGTTAAGAAAGCCTAGAGAACAAATGGATTTGTCAGTTAAAAATAGGAGAGGAGAGTTATTAAATGGAGAGTTAGAGGTATTGGGAAGATGGAAGGAATATTTTGAGGAATTGTTAAATGTTGATGAAGATAGGGAAGCTGTGATTTCGTGTATAGGGCAAGGAGGAATAACATCTTGTAGGAGTGAGGAAGAGCCAGTTGTGAGTGTGGGGGAAGTTCGTGAGGCAGTAGGTAAAATGAAAGGGGGTAAGGCAGCCGGGATTGATGGGATAAAGATAGAAATGTTAAAAGCAGGTGGGGATATAGTTTTGGAGTGGTTGGTGCAATTGTTTAATAAATGTATGGAAGAGGGTAAGGTACCTAGGGATTGGCAGAGAGCATGCATAGTTCCTTTGTATAAAGGCAAAGGGGATAAAAGAGAGTGCAAAAATTATAGGGGGATAAGTCTGTTGAGTGTACCTGGTAAAGTGTATGGTAGAGTTATAATTGAAAGAATTAAGAGTAAGACGGAGAATAGGATAGCAGATGAACAAGGAGGCTTTAGGAAAGGTAGGGGTGTGTGGACCAGGTGTTTACAGTGAAACATATAAGTGAACAGTATTTAGATAAGGCTAAAGAGGTCTTTGTGGCATTTATGGATTTGGAAAAGGCGTATGACAGGGTGGATAGGGGGCAATGTGGCAGATGTTGCAAGTGTATGGTGTAGGAGGTAGGTTACTGAAAGCAGTGAAGAGTTTTTACGAGGATAGTGAGGCTCAAGTTAGAGTATGTAGGAAAGAGGGAAATTTTTTCCCAGTAAAAGTAGGCCTTAGACAAGGATGTGTGATGTCACCGTGGTTGTTTAATATATTTATAGATGGGGTTGTAAGAGAAGTAAATGCGAGGGTCTTGGCAAGAGGCGTGGAGTTAAAAGATAAAGAATCACACACAAAGTGGGAGTTGTCACAGCTGCTCTTTGCTGATGACACTGTGCTCTTGGGAGATTCTGAAGAGAAGTTGCAGAGATTGGTGGATGAATTTGGTAGGGTGTGCAAAAGAAGAAAATTAAAGGTGAATACAGGAAAGAGTAAGGTTATGAGGATAACAAAAAGATTAGGTGATGAAAGATTGAATATCAGATTGGAGGGAGAGAGTATGGAGGAGGTGAACGTATTCAGATATTTGGGAGTGGACGTGTCAGCGGATGGGTCTATGAAAGATGAGGTGAATCATAGAATTGATGAGGGAAAAAGAGTGAGTGGTGCACTTAGGAGTCTGTGGAGACAAAGAACTTTGTCCTTGGAGGCAAAGAGGGGAATGTATGAGAGTATAGTTTTACCAACGCTCTTATATGGGTGTGAAGCGTGGGTGATGAATGTTGCAGCGAGGAGAAGGCTGGAGGCAGTGGAGATGTCATGTCTGAGGGCAATGTGTGGTGTGAATATAATGCAGAGAATTCGTAGTTTGGAAGTTAGGAGGAGGTGCGGGATTACCAAAACTGTTGTCCAGAGGGCTGAGGAAGGGTTGTTGAGGTGGTTCGGACATGTAGAGAGAATGGAGCGAAACAGAATGACTTCAAGAGTGTATCAGTCTGTAGTGGAAGGAAGGCGGGGTAGGGGTCGGCCTAGGAAGGGTTGGAGGGAGGGGGTAAAGGAGGTTTTGTGTGCGAGGGGCTTGGACTTCCAGCAGGCATGCTTGAGCGTGTTTGATAGGAGTGAATGGAGACAAATGGTTTTTAATACTTGACGTGCTGTTGGAGTGTGAGCAAAGTAACATTTATGAAGGGATTCAGGGAAACCGGCAGGCCGGACTTGAGTCCTGGAGATGGGAAGTACAGTGCCTGCACTCTGAAGGAGGGGTGTTAATGTTGCAGTTTAAAAACTGTAGTGTAAAGCACCCTTCTGGCAAGACAGTGATGGAGTGAATGATGGTGAAAGTTTTTCTTTTTCGGGCCACCCTGCCTTGGTGGGAATCGGCCGGTGTGATAATAAAAAATAAAAAATATACATAATAATCATTGTAACCCATTCAGGGGTTGCACCACTGGCTAAGTGTGATACAGAAAGTCTGCAAGATACTCCATGCAGGTATACTGAAAATATCATCTTAATTCACTTGAACAATGCCCTATTTATTTGTGAATACAGAGCTGCCAAATAAATAAATTTACTTTCTTCCTTTGAGTATCATCAGCCTTTCCTTTCTTAGGGATGTTGACATCTATCTTGGCTCGATCAACAGTCATGGCAGATGTAATTAGGCAGACAAAAGCCAGCCCTTCTTGCATCACCACAGCTGCCAGGTCTGCATGCTGAAATAAAGGCCAAGTTAAATATTAATTTAATTTCACTTTATTAGAACTAAAGTACTTACATATAAAAATTTCCTGATAATCAAACAGGGACCACTTTTTTTTTTTTTTTTTTTAGGAAAAAATACAAAGACAAAATATAAAATGACAATTACTAAATTTTGTGAAATTCCTAATTAAAAAATAAATAAATACAATTTATAATCACAATCTAATTAAATTATACAGTGGACCCCCGGTTAACGATATTTTTTCACTCCAGAAGTATGTTCAGGTGCCAGTACTGACCGAATTTGTTCCCATAAGAAATATTGTGAAGTAGATTAGTCCACTTCAGACCCCCAAACATACATGTACAAACGCACTTACATAAATACATTTACATAATTGGTCACATTTGGAGGTAATCGTTATGCGGGGGTCCACTGTACATGTATATTATTTACAACAAGCGTTGCCTCCCACCAAAGGAGGGTGACCCGCCAAAAAGTAATTTCCATTATTCATTCAATCACTGTTTTGTCAAAAATGTATTAACATCACAATTCAGATTACTCCCTAATTGCAATATCCCCACCTGCTTCAGAGTGCATGAACTGCCCTTCCCACCTCCAGAACTAGTCGGGTTAGCTTGTTTCCAAGAATCCCATCATAAATGTTCCATTGCTCATAAGAGGGAAACCCATCACAAACGTTTTATTGCTCACACTCCAAAGAACATCCATTAAAAACAACTTTTCACCATTCACTCCTATCTAATATGCTCACACAAGCCTGCTGGATGATGAAACTCCTAAAACTCAAAGCCTCCTTTACCCCTTCCTTCCAACCATTCCAGGGACAACCCTAACATTCCACCCGTGATTTATACTTTCTTCACCTTCCTATTCTTCTTCATCCTTTCTAAATGCCCAAACCACCTCAGTAACCCCTCCTCAACCCTCTTAATTATACCTTTGGTGACCCCCACCTCCTCTTAATTTCTACACTTGAATCCTCTGCATAATATGCATACAACACACTGATCTCAAAACGTCTCCACTGCACTGTTCAAAGTCCATGCCTCAACACCTACACAAAATTGTTGATAACATTCTAATCTGGTATACATATTCCCCTTTTTTGCCATCATAGATAAACTGTAGTGGAAGGAAGGCAGGGTAGGGGTCGGCCTAGGAAAGGTTGGAGGGAGGGGGTAAAGGAGGTTTTGTGTGCGAGGGGCTTGGACTTCCAGCAGGCATGCATGAGTGTGTTTGATAGGAGTGAATGGAGACAAATGGTTTTTAATACTTGACGTGCTGTTGGAGTGTGAGCAAAGTAACATTTATGAAGGGGTTCAGGGAAACCGGTGGGCCGGACTTGAGTCCTGGAGATGGGAAGTACAGTGCCTGCACTCTGAAGGAGGGATGTTAATGTTGCAGTTTAAAAACTGTAGTGTAAAGCACCCTTCTGGCAAGACAGTGATGGAGTGAATGATGGTGGAAGTTTTTCTTTTTCGGGCCACCCTGCCTTGGTGGGAATCGGCCAGTGTGATAAAATAATAAATATAAGATAAACTTCTCTTTTCTCAGAGGCATCAGTACATTATTTACCTTTCACTCACCCCCCCCCCTTCATTTATTCTATGGTTCACCTTGTCTTTTAGACCCGTTTGCTGATATGTCCACTCCGAATTTTATGAACACATCCACTTCCTCCACACCACCTCTCAGTGATCTGATATTCAATTTATCATTGAACTTTTGCATTACTCTCATTACCTTGCTTTTTTTCTATGTTCACATTTAATTGCTGACTTTTACATTCCCTCCTAAAACTGTCCACCAACCTTAGTAACATGTCTTTGGGATCTCCTAAAAGAAGTCAAAAAAAAAAAAAAAAAAAAAAAAAAAAAAAAAAAAAAAAAAAAAAAAAAAAAAAAAAACAGAGCAATTGTGACAATTTCCCAACACCATAGGGTGTAGTATTTACAAGCAACATCTACAAATATATTAACAACCATAACATCACACATCCCTGCCTAAGTTCTCCTATTAATGGGAAATAGTCCCCCACCCTCGTGCATACCCTCTAACCAAGAGTTCGGTAAACTTTTTTGGATATTAACCCAAAGCAAATTTGTGTACAGCAAAATTATCCACTTGAATCCTTACCCATTTTACATTATTGCCAACTTAAGAAACAGTCCCTACAAATTAGATTTCTTATTTTAATAGGAAACTAAAAATTATTTGTTTGAAAAAATATAATTCATTATTTGCCCCACCTATTAAATAACAAATTTTTGTGCAATTTTATTTATATGTTTACTGAGCCTTCATTACCCATGAGATTTTCATTTTTACCCCTTTTGGGGTAATTTACCCCGGTTCTCTGACCTAGGCTCTAGCCTGAGCTATCAACACAAACTACTGTATTTAGTAACCTACTACCTGTGCCACACATTTGTAATATATGCCACATGGCTCCCCTTTCCACCTTGTCATCTTTTTTAAATCCATGAATACAAGAAAAGAGCCCTTTACCCTTATGTACCTGGTAACCTACTGCTAAATCCTCCTCCCTCCTCTGCACTCCTACTTTCTTATCCCTAGTCCCTAAAACAAACAAAATTCTACCATGCACTGCACTCAGTATATTAAACAGGTTTATTTCCCTATAAATCTTACATTCTTTCTTGCTATTTTTTTCCCTTACACAAGAGAAGTATGCATGCTCTCTGCCAATCCTTATGTGCCTTCGGTTCTTTCATACATATATTGAACAAATACACTAATCATGCCAAAACTATATGCTGTACATACACACCATACATCATAAGTGTACATAAAATTGATGCATTGCACTGACCTTAGCTGGGTCACAAGCGTTATCAACACGTTCTATAGTAACAGAATCCCACTGTTCCTTGAAGAGTGTAAACTTTCGATTCGGTTCCAAATCCACGGTGTGGTATGCGCCCATCTTAATGTATTGATTCTCTTCAACATTGCGACCCTTTACTCTGTAATAGTTGTAGCTGCTAAGTGAAATACTGATACAGGAAATAAAACGTGGCATTTCAAGACATCTTTAATAGGGCAAGTGGAAGGTATACCTATGATAAAGTTCTATAAAGACAGAATAGCCCAAGAGTATGGTATGTTTAGACAGGATTGCCTAGATGATCCTATCATTGCCAGTCATTCAGGATGAAGATCTCAAGAATTCTAGTCATCAGATAAATATTGTATATCACAATACTGAGACAACAGACAGTGTTTGGGAAAAGGGTAAAGATTAGGTATAATAGCACTAAGTCCAGGATCTTGACCTCGTACTGTATATTAATAACGGTATGGGAAACTCAACAGCATATCTTTATCTAACTCCATTATCAGTAAGCATTGATTATTTAAATGCATGTAGAGTGCTGTTCTGTATTTATTTCGACTGAAGATTATGTATTAAATATCTCTGTCTAAAGTTGCAGTGTATGGAGATGAAATATCTGCAACTGTGTGACCAGTACTTGTCAAATAAATATTAAGTAAACTTAAATGGTTCTAAAGTAAAAATCTGTCACACACCTACAAAGATAAAGAACAGATAAGACATATTTTTTTATCGGCTAATTATAGCTTTTACCAAAATTTTATTTACTTGTACTTAGTACAATATTATACTGTACATAAAATCACCAGTTTTAATAGCTCACCAAACTGCTGATACAGTAAAATGTGAATAAGAGAGAAGCACTTTACAGTACAGTAGTTACAAACCATTAATAATTCAGTAACTCAAGAATTACCTAAGCATACATGCCCCGGTGTCAAAAGTGATGGCTTCAACTCTGATGGTGATGGTTGTGCGAATCCGGGATGACGTGGATGATCCTGTGGCAGACTCTTGTTGGACTTTGCGGATCGTAGTTGCCCTCAGGCAATCTCCTTCCATCATGATGTTGTAAGTGTGCCACATATCTTCTCCCTCATCCGGCAACAGCACCATCTTGCTATTCATACAGGGGGAAATGAAATATATATGTGGGACTTCATTTTTGTCAATGCTGTTACTAAAAAAAAAAAAATTATAAATCAAAGCCCTCTTGGTAATTTGGGGGCCAATCCCCAAAATAATTCTAACGTGACTCGCATTGAGTTTATTAAAACATTCAACCATATCCATATCCTTAAGTGTTATATAGGTACAGTGCAATATTTCTGTTGGATGACCCAACAAAGTCAGTGTTATTTCTACTGGGGTCTTTCCCTAGGATGCAATCCCATAAAAAGTCTGTTAATGCAGGTACCTATACTTCATTTACTGCAACATATATAAGAACCCCCATGTGTAATCCTGCCCAGGGATTCAACCTGGAGCCGTTGTTTGAAGACAAGCACTTTACTGCTCAGCTTTTATACACATTTAAAATTAGTTTGATTTCTTAGCATCTACTGTTATTTCATTTTTTGTTGTTGTTTTAACTATCATTCTGTTATGAAAAAGAATTCAGATACTTTTAAAATAATATTTCAGGGGTTCGAACAGAAAAGTCAAGCTACAATATTTATGTTGGCTAGTAACATGATAGGTAACCTCACAGCTTCTATACAGAGGAAACCCTAACTACAAGAAAAAAAAAAAAAAAATATTTGGAGAATTAACACTAGAGAGCTAATAACTAGAAACTAGTTTTTATTAACCCTTGTTAAAAATAAAAAATAACAATGGGTTAAATGTTAATAGAGTTAATAACCCATGAAAGTCTAGATGTGGCCTACAAGTCAACTAACTCCAGGTGTTTATTTGCTGCTAGGTAACAGGAGCAGAGGTTAGGTTCATACTCAAGTTTAAGCTTGTGGCTCAAGTGGTAGCACCTCCGGCACTCGTTTGATGAGTTTGGTTTGATCCTAACAAATGGAAACATTGGCCAAGTTTCCTTATACCTGCTGTCACTGTTCACCTAACAGTAAGTTGCATTCCAGACAAAGAGGCTCAAAAGAACCCCAACAGAAATAAGCCAAATGCAGTAATTTTATTCGGTTATCCTGGGTTACTAACCTTCCGGGTTAATAATCAAAATAAAATTTTCTTATAGGAAGCACATCCATTTATCATAGCTCACAGTAGAGGACTACTATAAGGTACGTATGGCAACAATCTGTAGTGCAGCTGTTACATGTATTAATATAGTTGCTGTCGGACCCACTGGAACTCAGATTAAATTACTATTACTATTGATGCAATAAACCCACAGGGGTCACACAGCACCTTAGGAAAGGGATCAGGTTTGATCTGCAGAAAGGGAGAGTAATTCAAATTCCTTGGATCAAGAGCTTTTGAACAGCATCAAGTTATTGGAAGCCAGAGATGTAACACAACATAACAGGATATACAGCAACACTTTAGTTGTAAATCAAAAATTCAAGGGGAAGTGCTAAATCCGCAGGGGACACAAAGCTACCACAATTGTAGCCTAATATACTGTAAAAAATACGTCCTCAGCTTGTGAAGCCAAAATATATAATATAATGTTATAAATTATGAGTGGACACTTCCTCTAGGATAAAAGTGAAAGGAACATAAGGTTGGGTAATGGGGTTTAAAACCTATCTTCTACACTAGGGTAATCAAGGTTCTACATAACCTTTCCACTATTAGACAAGTATACATCAGTCCCTAAAATAGGTATTAAACTCTCGGCATATATACACAGAGAAAAATAAACATCTCGGTTAACTTATTCGATGAAAATGAACACCAGTACGACTGCAATCTCGCCTCATTTCTTTACTCTCAGTAACTATGAACCTTATTACAAGCTGCTGCACAAGACACAACCAAATTTTTGACTCACCCTCGGCCATCCTTATCGATATCCTTATGTATCAGCTTCATTTTTAATGGAATATAAAATAAAATGAGGAGTAGCGTGTGTACACATCTGGGAGAGCTGAACAACTGACTCGCGCACACCTTCCACATAACACTTTCTCTATATTAATATTAATAAATAACCTTTTTTTATATTATTTATTTAACCAATTAATGCACGGAATACATTTTTCAACGATGATAATTTTAATTGTTGTTTAAATAGATCACCAAGGCGATAATAATCATAAACTAAATTCAAAATTAACCTTATCAGGATTTCAGAAATTTATAAATATTTGTCATATAAAGTATATATGAAATATTTAGATATTATACACAATATATATATACAAAATAATTACAGATTTATTCAATGGTAATACAGTAAACGTAAGCTTGTGGTGACTCATCAACTTATCATTGAAAATGTACACAATAAAACCCAGGATAACTTAGATAAATACAACTTTGTAAATGGTGATTATTATTATAATCGTGGGAGAGCGCTAAACAGGTAGGGATTATAGAGGTGGATGGAAGGTATTCATGGTCAATTCAGGGAACTGGAACACAGATCCAATGCCCGAGATCAAGAGCCCCTCACCAGCGTCAAGGAACTTCCCTTGAAGCGTGTAAATGGGCACATCCTAAGCTATCCCAGTGGCCATCATGGAGTTCAGGTCCTGGTTAGACCTCGTGTATTATCTTATTATGTAAAATTCAAGCATGTTATCTACACTCGGGTAACAGCCATTATTTATTGTGCAAATATTTGTCTGGGGAGATTTTAGCAAAACAAATTAATTTGTTTTATCACGAACGGCGCGTCAGTGTCAATCAACGGTCAGCAAAGAGCCGCGTAAGTAAAAACCCGCCAGTACCGATGGGGAAGTAAGGTTATAGTAGGGTGTGTTAGGTGGGTAAAATAAATTAATATTGTACGATTTCAACTACAATGATGAGTAGTTGTCTACTACTGACGACTGTTGTGGGTCGCAGCCTGGGAAAGAGGATCATAGGACCCTAGTGGATTATAAACCACACAGAATGGCTTCATTGGGTCACTATCTCTGTAATACAAAACGATATTCTCCCATCAACAAAGCCATCGTACTCTCCTCTAATAAAAGAACTGAAAAACATTATAAATAATTAAAAACAAGATGGCGAGATTCATCCTGGACCTGGTCCAAGGGAACATAGAGACCAG